CCTCCTGCCTCGTGTGCATTTTTAGTCCATAATTTAGCTGCTGATATAGAAGGCCTTCAAGTTGTGATGACAGGAAGCCAAAGGAAAACTAAATGGATGAGTTGACATTGGGATTCATGAAGACCTACACAGACTGGAGCAATCCATAAGTTGGCAGGAAAAGAGTAAAAGAGAGGCCAGGAGAACCTGAGTAGTGCAGAGCTGCCGAAGGTAAGGAGTAAAACGAGGGAGCCACGCAGCTTGAGGGCAGAGGATGCGTGTGTGGATCTGACCGCGAGGAGGGTGCTGACCCCTTGTGTGCTGGAGATAGAGCTCGAGCTCATCTGCCTGGAGAGTGGGGGTGGGATGAGGTGATGAAAATCAGGGCCACCGGGTCTAGATCCCTCACTTGAGAGAGACAACAATGAAGGGAACAGGAGAAGAGTGAGGGCCGTGACGTTCTTGAAACTTACATAAGAGAAGAGCAGGTGTGAAGACCGGCAGGGCCAGTGACCAGGAGAGACTAAAGGTTCTGGGAGAGTGGCCGGTAAGGGAAGCATGCTGGAGGGTGCAGAGCCACTGGGCTTTTGTTGTCCGCGATCAATGTCACATGGGCCTTAACTGTGTTGCATGACCTTGAGGTGTTTTCTGTTGCTCTCCCGGTTTCTCTCCTTCATTTCTTATGGATCAGACACTTGGTGGCAAAAGGAGAAGCAGTGGGGAAAGTGAACTCACATTTGTCAAAGGCCTCCGTGTGCCAGGGCACCATGTGAGGTGTTAACCAAAGTCAGATGAGCAGGTGAAGCCAACCCTCTGACGACTGACTCTGGGGGAAGACAATGTGGGGCTGTCTCTGGGCTAACTCAGGTGAGCTAGCTCCAGGAGAGAGTGGCTGGGAGGCCAGGAGCCCGCTTATGACAGCGATGCCTACGTCTGCAGCTCTCCCAGTTCAAGTGGCATCGCTGGAGGGAGAGCAGGCTGGCGTAGGGGCCCTAGCAGTGCCCTCTCAGACCCAAGCTGCCATCCGGACCCTCAGTTTTCCTTCTACATTTCCTTCTACATTCTTCTTTTAGGAAACACTGTTTCTATTGGGGATGGAAAACCTCTTTCTAGCATGCCTGGACAGTTCTCATGGTGCCAGGGGGAAGACCTCCCAGTACCAGGTGCCAGTGCTCAGAATGTCAGTAAAGGTGGGCAGAGAGGGGCTGAACACTTTAATTGGCTGCCACCCCCCCCCCCCCCCCCCCCCCCATGGCTCTGTTGGGCTCTATTGCCAACTGTCTCCTTAACTCCATGCCCCTGCCCCGGCCCCATCAGCTACCCACAGTCTTCCCCAGGCTCTTGGGTTTCTTGTTGCCATGAGTGCCACCATCCTCCACCCTGCCAGCCAGGCCCATGACTCCTCGTCCCCTTTACTTCCCCACACTGGCAAGGTATCTAGAATGCACCTACTTCACATCACTTAGGCTCGTCCCATCTCTTTGTCTCGACCCAGGCGGAGTGAGTCACTCACCGCTCCCGGGAAGCCCCATAGTCTTATTGGTGTAGCACTCACAGCCTGTCGTGATTGCTATTTGCGTGTTTCTCCTCACTCACCTGCGAGCGCCATTGCTTACTGTGGCCTTGGGTCTCTGCGGAGTGACGCTAGATGCCTGTGGAGTAGATAAAGGAAAGCCCAGCAGAGCTGCTAGCGCAAGGGATTCAGAACTGAGTAGGTATGAATTCCAAGGGTTGCAGTTATTTTCCAAAGTTGCCATAAAAGGTCAAAATGTTCTTGAGGCTACAGAGGAGTCGGGTCTGGCGTCGGGCGTGAGGAGCGTTTAGGGTGGGGGATGTAGTAGCGTGCACGCGCGTTGTGCGCCGTACGCCCCCTGTGCATGGGTGTTGGCACGTTTGGGGAGGGCGTTGGCGAGTGCAGAAGGGGTGCGTCTGTATGTGATCCCATCTCCACTCTTGCTAGACTCTGCGCCTCAGACACTGTCATGCAAGGATGGCCCCCAGTGTGGCACGAAGGCCATACTGCAGACAGGCCCACGGATGGGGCAGGTCAGGGAAAATGCCACGTCTTTTGGTCCCTGTGAAGAGAGCATATGGTCACGGACAGCGACCGCTGTGTGACCCCTGCCGTACACGTCCGTCCTTCTGTTCTGCTCTCCTAAGGAGTTCCACGTCTGAGCGCTGACTGACCCTGCGTGCTTTTCTTCTCCTCTCTTCCTTCCTACAGTCGGTTCTGAACGTGATCGGTGAGCTGCAGCAGCAGGTGTGTAGGCTGCAGCTGGACATCCACAGGCAGATTCAAGAGCGCCTCTCACTCAGTAGGGACCACCCTGAGGAGGTGGCAGCCGACGACGGTGCGGCCCGGCCCCAGCCCTGCGGCCAGGAGTGTGCCCGTTGGGAGGGGTCACCTGTAGGAACCACACTTAAGTATATCGGAGCATGCGTGTGTGTGGCATCTCACTGGCGGAGGGACTGGGGCTTCTCCTACCTGGAACAGCGTGCGCTGGCTTAACATGGATCCATGGTCACCTCTGGGCAGAGCTTGGGACTTGTTCCTCTTGGGATGTGAGCTGAGCTCCGTGACCCTCACTGAACGGGGTCTGAGCTGGCGAGGCCAACCCTCTGACCGGTGGCGGTACTCATCTCTCTCAGGGCTGGGAATGAGGTGTGTCAGGTGCCCTGAGTGACGGGGCGTTGGTGTAAAAGCAAGCTTCGGGTCCCCTTCCCAGGTACGACTCAGACACTGATTCTCCCTCCTGGGCTGGGAGATTAAATGACGTTTCAGCTCCCATGATTTTTTTTTTTAATTTAAGAAAAAAATAGCATCATAAAATAATCCTCTCAAGTTTATTTTTAAAGAGGTTTATCCCCAGTGAGAAAACAGAACACAAGGGTCCGCATGCTGTGACAATTCTCATCATCTGGATTTCCGGGAGAAGTTCTCCCGTGTAGTCACGTTCGAGGGATTTCGTGACCTGCGGGCCCTATGGGGTGTATCTGCCTGGGATTCTGGACCTGGCCCCTTGCGCTGGTGTCACCAGGTCCTTTGTGATGGCAGCTGCACAGAGATGAGCCTGTGCTTCCAAGGCCCGCTATCGAAGAGGACTTGGAAGCCCAAGGGAAAGTCAAGGGCGTAGTAGCCATGTCTGTAGGAAGTTGTCATGATCCATCCTCAACTATGGGACATGTTGGAAATCTCCACCCAGACTTGGGCATGAGGGGAGGGGGCCTCCGTGGGGAAAAAATTGAGAGTCAAGATGTAGGTGTAGATTTGGAAAGGGAAGCTCTGAGAGGGGTGCTGGGCGTGCCCCATGGTGAGTGGGTTACCCCAGAAAGACTTGTAAAAGAAGTTACACTCTGCACCAGTGTTTATAGCCCACGATGGGCAACAAATAGCTTAGAGGTTGGAATAGCTTTGCTCATGGTGGCCTGAAGGATGGGCAGGGGTTAACCCGGCAGAAAGTTCCAGACAGAGGGAGGGAGAGGCATGTGTGAGGGCCCAAGTCAGAAAGAGGAACTAAAAAGTATCCAGCATGGCTGGAGCATAACTGGGGAGAGACAGTAGTACAAGAGGCAGGCAGGGTGCTGGGTTAGGCCGGGCTGTACTGGTCGTGGGTTAAAGTTCATGAGCTTTGAGGAGCAGGGAAGGGCCAGGATCAGATTTGTGCTTTAATTGTATTGTTCCCCTGGATGCCATGGGGGTCGATGGCTTCAAGAAGGGCAAGATGACAGAAGACCAACCAGTGGAGAGGCTGTCCAGGCTCTCAGCAGTAACTGCTAGTGATGGTAGAGTTGAGATAAAAGAGAGATTCAGGTGATTTCCTTGAAGGTAGATTTTAGAAGGCTTGGGGATGAGTTACGTATGTAGCGGGGGAGACAGAAGGAGGTGCCAAGGATGGAGACGCCATTTAGTGAGACAGGGGTGTCTGTGAGGGGGAATTAAGGGTTACACTTGGGTCATGACAGTCGTAAGATGCCTCTGTGCCATCCATGTGGAGATGTTGTGGGAAGTTTGTTATGTGAATCTGGAGTTCAGAAAGTCCATGGAAGTAATCGCTTTTATGCTAATTTTTCTGATAGAAACCAGTCAGCAGGACCATTTGTCCATTAAAGGGACCTAGGTTTGGGATAAGGGTGCTCAGCGGTGTCTTTACTAAAAGGGGTACTTTAGAAAGCAGGGGGCCCTGGGGTCAGAAGATACAGCCCTGATTTCCAGGTCCACCACCGGCAAGTTGTTTAAATGTCACTTCCCCACTCAGCAACCTTCAGAGGCTCCCTACTTTCTAAAGAATGGCATCAGATCGCCTCATATTCTCATCCCAAAGCCTTTACAGTAAGGCCCCACCGTTTCCCACTGAATGCTGCCCATCCTGTGCTCCAGCCCAGCAGGCTGTCTGCCCTCTCCCTGGACGCCGCCTCCCTCCCTCCTTTCTTCAAGCCAACCCCTCCTCTGAACTGGAACAGCCAGACCCTCTTCTGCATTTCACACTTAGCATTTGTCCTTTTAGCGTTTTGTTTCTATCCTCCTGGCTGTCACTTCCTCTGTGAAGCCTTGCAGGAACACCGGCCTCCTCCCCTGGGTTCCTCGACCCCCAGCACAGACAGATGCTCCCTATTGCCTGCTTCCTGCTACTTTGTCTGTAACAGGCTGCCTCATTTCTGCATCTCTGTTTCTCTTGCTCCCAACTCCTACCTGTCCTTCCCCCTACACATACGTGCATGATTTGGGCACACCCTGCAGGGAACACAGATGTCAGAAAGGAGCAGGGAGAACAAGTTCTGCAAAGAAGAAAGTTTTCTCTTCCTTTAGTCTGGAACTCCCTGGCCTTTGTTTTGTAACGGGCACATAGCCTTTCCTAAAACGAGGACCGTGTTTAAAGACTGGAGCCAGCCACAGCGTGGAACGTGACGCGGTCGCTCCTGCCTTGGTATCCACTGTGCATGTGCTTACCCAGGGTTGTAGATCCCAGGAGCATCCTGTTCTTTAACCATCAGAACTCTGTCTTTCTTCCTCACCCCCCTAGGAGTTACTGCAGGAGCTCCGGCACCTCAAAATCAAGGTGGAAGAGTTGGAAAACGAACGGAACCAGTATGAATGGAAACTGAAGGCCACCAAGGTAAAAGGCGGTTCTGATGTTTATGGAGAGGCTTTGAGGCCCAGTGGGGAGGGTCTGGGGTGTGCCGTAGCCTAAGGCTGAGGAATGGGAATTGATCCCACTGTGTGTACACGCAACAGTGCCCAGATTGTGCGAGCAGACAGATTTAATCCAGGAGGGCTCTTTTCCTGGGGAAAGCCCATGAGATTATGAGCTGCTGAGGTCGCCAAGTCTCCTTCCTCTCTCTGTGTCCCATGGCACCCCCCCCCCCCCCCCGCCCCAGGCTGACACTGGGCCAAGCAGGGCCTCTACGATTGAGTGATGAGCCCTAGGGCAGATGAATGCCAACATTGTCTTGGCTGCATCATTTTAAATTTAGCAGCCCCTCTAATAATCAGTTTCTAAAAAGAGGTATGCTTTTATTTTTAGCAATTCCTAAAAATATATACTTGTAATATTTTTGTAACCAAATCATGTTTCTATTGAACTGGGGAGCTTGCTATTTAAAGGACACCCGCGATACATTCTTTCGTGAAATAAATTTTATCCCTCCCTCCTTTGTTTTCTCTAATAGTTTCCTCCTTCATTTCCCCTAACAGTTGGAATGGATTCAGCCCACACATTTATTGTTTTGGCCAGAACGTTGTATTTTAAAACGTCGAATTAGCTGTCACTTAAGCATTAGGCAATTTCACATATACAGTTAGACTTCCATGCAGGCAGAGGAGGGACGCTCTGGGGTTGGGGGCGGGAAGCTTTAAAAGCCTGAAGCAGCTTTTCCGCCTGAGGAGCTGGCCGGGCTCCCTCTGGTGGGTGGGTGCACGCCTGCCTTTCCACTGAGAGCTCTGCAGCGCCACCCACAGGTGTTACCAGATGGTCCTGTAGGCATCTTCATCTTTACTTCTTAGAGTTTTCTTAACATCTAGTTTGTACTTTGAGTTTTATTTTTTCTATACCTTTAAATGATTCTAAAAACAATAATAACCGTTATAGATAATTTTAAACCACAAAAACTTAAAAGAATAAAAATCATTCGTATACTGCCCAGGAGCTACCACTATTAATATTTCCTTCCAGGCATTTCTCTTTTTGGGGTCTCTCTCTCTCTTAATTTTGATGTTGATAATTTATACACAATTTTATACCATGCTCTTAAAAGAAAACTCCGAACATTATGGTGATGTCTATATAATATTCTATTGCATAAATGTGAGAGTTTTCTTAACTGTTTACAGATGAGGAAACTGAGGCTCAGAGTGGCCAAGGTGAGGTTCTGATCTGGATCTGTGTCATTCCAAAACTCATGCTCTTTTCCCTCTGTCATCCTAATTCCCTGCAGTTGAAACCTGCCTTGTTTTTGAAAGTTCTTCCATTTTCTGTGTAAAGCTTCTCAGTCCGTCAGTGTGCTTCATCTTTCAGCACAGCGGCAGTAGGGCAGGGTCCCTGGGTTTAATAAGGCCCAGCACCTGCAGGGAGGAAGAGCCCCCATCTCTGCCTGGCTTTGTCCCAGACCTCTCGCCACACAGCTCCAGCCTCAGTGGCCATGGCAGTAGCATACTTTTCCCCGTGGTCAGGTGCACGGCCTCTGGGCTGTTGTAGACTTCCCAGCTTAGGGACAGATACCTTTCTCAGCGTAAGAGAGGACCTGTCATTTCTGGCCTATTCTGTGAAAATGGGCACATGGGAGATTGGGCCCAGCCACTTGGTCTGTAGAGTTGTAAATAAATGACTTCACCCAGAGGCAGGCCTCAGAGAAGAAGAGCCCGGGCTCTGCCTTGATAGCATCTCATCACTGGTGTCCACTGTGGGGCCCGCAGACAAGAATCAGGCATCCGGATTCCTAACAGAGACCAGCTCTCACCCTGTTTACAAAGAAGGGGAGAAATGGGTGTGGAAGGTGCAAGAAAAGTTAAGAGAATATCTTCCAAGAATATTCTGGCCCTTGTAGAAATGAGAGGCATTTGGATTGAGTCCCAAGGCTAATATTTTCAGAAGCCACTGTCGCCATCAATCGTAAGCCCATGGGCTCCAAGGCCCTGGGTTAGCTGTGCAAAGCTGCCCATGGCCGCGAGTCTCTGCAAGCCGTTTGGTACAGCTGGACCCAGCTCTCTGTCCTCTGTGGGTGGAAACCAAGCAAAGGGACAGTGCTCTGTAGGGACTTTGGGTAAGGAAACCCACCCCTTTGCCACCTCTTTGTTTTTACATGGGCCCATTTTGGGGATGTTAGGGAAGGTTTGTCCAGAACCCCTTGAGGTGGGCTCAGGGAGCCCTCTCCCCATAAGAGGAGCCCTCATCTGTGCTATTAACTCAGCAGCAGACAGCCCAGGCTGGGTGGAGCCCTGGCTTTCGAGCAGGCAGGGTTCACGTCCTGGCCTGGTCGCTGAAGAGCTCTGTGACTTGGGAGTCGAATCCTTCCCTACTCCTGTTTTCTCCCCGGTGACATGCAGGGGTACTGCTTCATCCCATGGTTTCCTGTGAGGATTGAGCGAGGGTTGATGTAAGAACGCAGTGAGCATGGGGCCGATGGAGAGTAGGCTCTCAGCCCGTGTGTCCTGAAGCTGAACACAGGCCTGTTTGGTGGAAGGGCCACCAACAGGACCAGTGCTCATTTGATTACTTGACTTGTTCAAAAATGACCTCGGGATAGGACGAGCCCATACCGTAACCTTGCAGAGTAAAGGTGGGGCCCGATTGGGCTACCATATGGGGAGAGGGTGCCCAGAGTAGAAGCTTTTGCTGTGTGTGCCGTTGACTGGCTGGGAGTTAGTTCTCACCCCCTTTCTTAGTCTGTTTTGGTTTTTTTCCTTTTTATAGATTTTATTTTATTTATTTTTGGCTGAGTTGGGTCTTCGTTGCTGCGCACGGGCTTTCTCTAGTCGCAGCAATGGGGGCCACTCTTCATTGTGGTGTGCAGGCTTCTCACTGTGGTGGCTTCTCGTGTTGCAGAGCACAGGCTGTAGGCAGACGGGCTTCAGTAGTTGTGGCGCACGGGCTTCAGTAGTTATGGCTCGCGGGCTCCAGAGTGCAGGCTCAGTAGTTGTGGCACACGGTCTTAGTTGCTCCGCGGCACGTGGGATCCTCCTGGACCAGAGATCGAACCCGTGTCCTCTACATTGGCAGGCGGACTCTTAACCACTGCGCCACCAGGGAAGCCCCCTTAGCCTGGTGTGATGCTCAGAGCACTAGCTAGTTATCCATACGGGAAGGAGTGGGATGAGAGCAGCAACAGAAGTGGCATTTATTGAGGACCTACTGTCTACTGAGTTGTTCATAACCCTTACCACATTTACTCCTTACTGCAGCCCCGTGTGCTAAATGCTGTTTTCCTGGTTTTATAGATGAACCAAGACTCAGAAATGTTAAACCACTTACCCAACTAGGAAATGAGACAATCCAAGTTTAACTCCAAAGCCAGCGTGCCTCTCAGGATGGGACCTACCCAGTTCTGCCCTTCTAATCAGTAGGGGAGCACAGGGGCCACCTGGCTTGCTGTTGCGTGTGCGGTTTAATCTGCTGGTAGAGACCTGGGAACCATGCAGTGCTGCTGCCCACGTGAACGGGTGTGTGCGCCTGTGTCGATTTACAGAAGTACGTCCACTCAGCACACCTGAATGCTGTATGCAATGCTTGTATGTAATTTCATTTGGGTAAAGGAGCATAGATGTCTAAGGTTGGGCAGAGGCGGTGGCTGTGCATTCAGGGTGGGAGAGTTTGAGGGAGGGAACGCTTGGCTCACTCATTGTCTACTAGTAGCGATTTGATTTCCACTGTATTTCCTGTATGGGGTGGAAAAACGAAAGATGAACGTACTTGTTACAGTGGTTTATGGACATGCTACTGCAGAATATCTTGGGAGAAGGAAGACCATGTCCAGAAAGAGAATATCCATCTTTGGACCAAGGGCAGCCCTCCCATTGAGCACGTTCCCACCTCCTCAGGCCTCTGACTTATTTTGGCTGCAGAAGGCATGGGAGGGAAAGAGCCTGGTCAGGCAGGAGGATGCAGGAGAAAGAGCAGGTGGATGGCCAGGGCCACGGGCATGTCCTCAACGGCCAGGAAGAGCGCGTTCATTCTGCAGAGCTCCACCTTGTGGGGAGGGCAGTGAACACCTCTCACTGCTCACCTCTGGCTGCTTTGCTCCTAACTTCCTAATGTGTCCTCGGACCCACTGGCCCTGGGCTCTGACTTGAGGTACTTTGTCATGGTCTGGTAGTCCCTCTGAGCTGGTAGGATGGCTTTTTCTCTTCCAGGCTGAGGTAGCCCAGCTGCAAGAGCAGGTAGCCCTGAAGGATGCAGAAATTGAGCGTCTGCACAGTCAGCTCTCCCGGACTGCAGCTCTGCACAATGACCATGCAGAGAAAGGTAACTGGGCTGACTGTGACCGAATGCAGTTTGCCCTTTGGCCCTGGGCCCTCTCTTATAAGTGGGCATGTGTGTCTCTGGGTGTGTGTACTGCTGTGTGAGGAGGCATGAAATGTGCACGTACGTGTGTGTGTATGTGTTCATGTGTGCACGCATGGGCCTATAAAGCCCAGCTCTGTTGTGGAATCATTACCGTGAACCCCTCCCCTGTTCAGAGGACTCAGTGGAATCATTACCGTGAACCCCTCCCCTGTTTGGAGGACTCAGTGGAATCATTACCATGAACCCCTCCCCTATTCGGAGGACTCTGGAATCATTACCATGAACCCCTCCCTTGTTCGGAGGACTCAGTGGAATCATTACCATGAACCCCTCCCCTGTTCGGAGGACTCGGCTCTGAAACCTTTTCTCAGATGCACTCTGACCATTGAAGCTCTCTGTGCAGCTACCTCTGGAGCTTTTACTCTTTCCCTTAATTGAAAGGACTTGTCTTTGTGTCATCACCAAAGAAGAGGCTTTAGCAATTCACTCAGTCGTTGAATGGAGCCCTGCCTGGTACTCACATAAGAGCCTGAGGTTACAGAAACAGATTCGTTATTTCCCATCCTTTGGATCTCGACTTAAATGTTACCTCTCAGGAAGACCTTTCCTGGCCACCCTACCTCAACTAGGTGCCCCCATTTTTCTCAAACTCAGCACTCTTTTTTTCTTTCATAGTACTTATTGTAATTGATCAGTGTTGTATTTTGTGAGGTCTTATATAGACTGTCATCCTCCTTCTGGGGCAGTGACTGTGTCTCTCTTATTTGAGACCATATCCACAGAGCTTCACATGGCATTCAGCCCATGGCTCCTAAGAAATATTTATTGAATAAGTGAAAGGATGGTGAATGGTCCCTGAGGAGTTCAAGTCTTGCTGATTAAAAATAGAGGCTAAATCCTCAAGTATTCTTAAGACGTATTTGATATTTACAGCTATTTGCCTTATATACGAAATGATCACACACCCTACAGCTTCTCCTCTGGCCCCCGGGCTGCAGAGCAGTGCTGGGGAGCCCTGTGAATTCGCCCCACTACAGTTGCAGCTGGGCCTCGGCACCGACACCACTTAGCTTGGATCACTGGTGGGGGTGGGGAAGCTATGCAGCCCTGAAACAATGGCTTAGGCGGGAGGAGGAAATTAGTGACCCATGTGCTCATCCCTCCGCCAGCCTTTCTCTTGTCTTCTCAAGCCACTGAGTATGTCACCTACTTGCCATGGCTTAATGTGGAGGCCGGAGACCCCTGAGATACTCTAGACTGTCTGTGATGCTAAACTTGCATAAAGAGCTCCCCAGGCCCTGACTCGTGGGCCAGGCAGCCTTCCCCTGCACTCCGTGCTTCCCCACAGGCCTCGCCTTCCAGGCCCCACCGCATTCCGTCACCGGGCACCTCCTGGAGCTGATGCTCGGGGCCTTGCTCTGGCTGCGGCCTGCCCAAGGCATCAAGGTTTGCCAGTCTTCGTCTGGAGCTTACTGCCCTCCCCTCCACAGACTGGGTTGCCAAGCTGATCTCTAGCCGCCAAGAGCCTAAGATAGTGAACGGCACTCTGCACCTCTCTCTGAAGCTGAATCCCTACAACTAGTTACACAAAGTCCTAAATCCATTCTTCCTATTCTTGCCGGATGTAGCAAGCATCCCGAAAGGAGATGGGGTGACTATACATATTTTTGTCCCCTTGTCTGCTGTATTTCTCTTACGTAGACATCCCTGTTCTCTGTAGTACCCAATTTGGGGACGGGTATAGGGCTTTGCTTGGAAAAACTAGCTATGTGTTAATTCTTAGACCTCCACATATTGGGCAGAAAGACCCCCAGCTCCTTTAGGCTTTAGCCTTTGACCTGGCTCTCCAGACTAGTTTGGGAAGAATTCGAGAGAGTCTCTTGGGTCCAAGGTGAGAGAAGGCAATGTGTTGTCCACCACAGACTGACAAAGATCCCTTGGCCCATAGAGAAATTCTGTAGGCTTATGGTGAACTAAGATTGCTTTCCTTAACAGTAGAGTTTGTTTTAACATACTTATAGATCCAGCTAAACACTGTTAGTCAATTCCGACTGTGACCTTCTAAATTGAGCCAAGTACCTGACTCTTTTTTACATAGTCATTCTTTCCCTGTCTCTGTTCAGCTATAGACTTCCTTTTTTTTTCTCATTTAAAATTCTCTTCTGCTACAATCCATGGGACAGTGTGATTCTCTCTAAAACTAGTTAGCAGCCCAGGTACATGCCTACTCAAGTCATAGAGGATAAATGTCTGTTTCCTTGTGGGATGTCAGTTGTGAAAGATTTGGGGGTTCCTCTGTGCCACCCTTGAATAAATGGCATTTTGGGTTTTCCCCACAAATGTCTCTAAAGAGAAGACAAAACAGTAGGTTCATTCGTTTAATAGTCCAACAAATATGTACCAAGACTGACTCTACGCCAGACACCATCATGGGCTCTTTAAAGAAGTAGGGAGCCACGTGTAACTTATTCATATGGAAAGTCTTAGCATCTTAGCAGGTGGGAATAGTTGTCTGCACTTACGTAAATAATTCCTCCTATACCTAAACTCTTTTAGACCAAGAAATCCAACGTCTGAAAATGGGGATGGAAACTTTGCTTGTTGCCAATGAAGATAAGGTAAGATGGCCATGGAGCGGCCCTGCCCTTTCCCTGCTGACATTCCTGGTTCTGTTTGGTTCTATTAGTCTCTGATATTTTGGACAGGGCTGTGCCCATCAGACCACCGACTCGGGGAAGTGTCAGGAGAATGGCCTCTGCCTCCTAGACACGTGGCTCAGCCACCTGTTTTTGGCTTTGATGCCTGGGAGCTTTGCCTAAATGGCATCTCCCAAAGGCAGAATAAAGCCATTCCTGTTCATGCAGGTGTAGGGAAAAAATACCACTGAGGTTACTGCCAGTATCACAGCTACTGCTCAGACTACTAGCAAAACTCAAGAACGGTTCACCAGTCTCCCACGCTCATGATCTGGTGATGGACCCATCGTAACTAGTGATGCTTAATCATAAAACAGCCACCCCCATAACTAGAGAGTACCTGTCTGGCGAAAACATCAGCTCTAAGGATCACTACCCTGCATTTTACAGACGAGGAAACACACTCAAAGTGCTAATGTAGGTTTGCCCAAGGTCAGGTAACAGTAGATAGCAGAGCCAGGGTCATACCCAAGTTTATCTAGCTCTGAAATCTGTGTGGCCACCCCAAGTCCCCAGCCTTTGCTGAAAGAAATGATCTCCTCTGGGAATTTCCTCTATTGCATAAGGAATCTCAGCCTCGGAGTAAGTGAGAGTTTTGAGAGAAATACGACAGCTTTATTTTAGTCTTTTTTTTTTTCACGTAGCTCCAGAGGACAATACTCGGACCAGGAGGCAGATTTCAATGGCTATGTCAGGAGGGTAGGGAGACATGTCTGAGCCCCTCGAAGGCTGTATCAAACAGGGATTGTTTTATGACTAGAGATTGGACTCATAGCCTTCAGGTAGAGGCAAGAGTGCTTACAGCTACTCAGGAGGTAGACCACTGAGAACCCAGGGCCTGGACACTGTGTTTCCCTTTGGAATATTCTATGGGTTCCACATAGCATTTCTTCTCAGTGTGCCCAGAACATAGCCAGGGCCCCCAGATGAAATCACCAGGTGCCAGTGGTGTTGTTTACATAGACGTCTGTCTTGTCCTGTGACAGGACCGTCGGATAGAGGAGCTTACTGGGCTGTTAAACCAGTACCGAAGGGTGAAGGAGATCGTGATGGCGACTCAAGGTAAGAGCAAGGGGGAGCTTTGCCATTTTCTCCCCCACATATTCCATCTCTACGGTGTTAAATCCAGGGGCAGACCTGCCGGAAGAGTCCTCATCTTCGTTTGGAGAAATGCTCTGCTGGAGAACGGAGCTGGTTAGACTGCCCTGGGTGGGGGGACACTGGTAGCTGTTGCTTGCCAGAAGTTGTGGCAAATGGCAGAGTCAGTTCAGAGCTTCCAGGAGCTACCCAGATCGCCAAGGAAAGACAGCCTTCAACTCGAGCCATTGGCGATCCCTACCCTTGGAAGATCTACGCATCTGCCCAGGACACCTCTTAGAGGCAGTGAGCGCAGTCAAACCTGGATCCGAAGGCAGCTTAATACCCTCGTTGGGGATTAGAGCCTCCCCACCTCCTGGAGAATCTAAAAGCTTCCCCAGCAGACGCCAGGACACTTGGGGAGCCTTCTTTGAGTTGCCGGGTACCTGGGTTCCCATAGGAAGTCACAGGGCAGTGAGAGCTGTTTGTGTTGCCCTGAAGAATCTTCTGAATCACACTTTTAATGTCCCTTTATGTTTTTCTTTGTCCTTTTTTTATATAAATTTATTTATTTTTGGCTGCGTTGGGTCTTCATTGCTGCACGTGGGCTTTCTCTAGTTGCGGCGAGCGGGGGCTACTCTTCGTTGCGGTGCGCGGGCTTCTCATTGCGGTGGCTTCTCTTGTTGCGGAGCACGGGCTCTAGGCACACAGGCTTCAGTAGTTGTGGCTCGCAGGCTCTAGAGCGCAGGCTCAGTAGTTGTGGTGCACAGGCTTAGTTGCTCCGTGGCACGTGGGATCTTCCCAGACCAGGGCTCGAACCCGTGTCCCCTGCATTGGCGGGCGGATTCCTAACCACTGCGCCACCAGGGAAGTCCCTTTTTGTCCTTAATGAAGGAGAAACAACGTTAGGATTTTGTGGTACAATTATAGGTTTCTAAACAAGTCACGTGGTAGTAATTATCTCTTCTGCGTTAATGCTTCCAGGGCCTTCCGAAAGAACTCTCTCAATCAATGAGGAAGAACTGGAGGGAGGTTTCAGAAACTGGAACACTGCAAATAAAGGCCCTGAAGAACTTTTTAAACCAGAGGTACTGTGTTTCCGGTCATGATGTGGGGTTTCAGCAGGCCCCAGGAGCTTACCCTGGGCCTGGGGGAGGATCTAATCAGGTACCAGTCAGATACGTCTCAGGTGTAAATCTTGACAGGTAGAAAAAATTAAATCAATGGAGTTAGCCCCCGAGGCCTTGGGAAGAGCACTGAGGCTGGGGAGCAGTCAGGGCCTGTGTTCCCGTTGGGAGGGACAGCATAGTGGATACTGGACTTCCCAGGATAGAAATTTTCTTTTTTAACTGGTTTCCTTGCTTATTTTTGCCTTTCCTCTCTGGACTATAAGCCTAGACCAAAGGTGTTCTTTGTTTTATTTACCACTGTCTCTCCAGGATCTGCAGTGATGCCTGGTACCCAGTAGGATTCAACAGATATTTGTTTAATGAATGAATGAATGCATATTGCTCATTTGGAGGGATAGCTGAACTTTTGAAGTGATACATTCCTATTTCACAGACAACGTCCCGCCCCTATAACCAGCATACAGATTTCCTTTTTTCTTGTTTAAAATTTGATCCAGTTCTATAAACCTCTCTGGACTTAGTCTAGATACATGTAGGCAAATTAACTCATAGATACAGATCTCAGATGAAGAAGGGGTTTCAGCCCAGGATCCAAAAGGTTCTTGAAACTCCAGAACAGTCACAATAAAAAGGATCTTAGCGGTCCAACTCAACCCTTTTAATTAAGGGAGGAGCAAAAGTGTCACCCGGTGGCCCAGTTATGTAGTCAGAGCAGGCATCCCAGATTGCTGGCAATGATAGCAGTAACTGATGGCCAGTACCTCTGGGTGGTCCCTGCGATGAGCACTGCACGTGACTCACCTCATTTACTCCTCATGACCCCTTTGGGATTCTTCTTTTATTGTGTTGCAGCTGAGGCTCAGAGAAGGTAAGTAATCTGCTCTAGGTCACCCAGCAAGTAGATGGCAGAACTTGGACTTGAACACAAAAGCCCAGGTGTTTAACAACTTACATACTATGATGCCCAGGTTCTTTCTATGGTAGACCAAAAAGTTACTGGGATCTAGAGAATAGAGGCAGCCCTTGCAGACGGGAAAGACATCAAATTGCATCCTTATCTTCCACCAGATTAGCTCACGTTCATTCCACCCTTGATACTCTTGCCTTTCTGGCCTCCTTGCTAAGCTCATTCTCATTTCTCAAGATTCAGCTCAAGTGTTCTCCCCTCTGAAGCCTCCCTAACCTTCCCACCAACAAGAAGGATCCTCTCCCTCCCCTTTATCCCCATATTATATTATAGGTATTGGTATCAGAGGGACATGTTGCATTGCTCTTTCATCCTAATTAACTTACCTGACTCCCTGATGTGGGCAGTGCTTGCCCCACACCCAGCACAGGGCCTGGCAGGCAGTAGATGTTGCTCGTGTTTGTTGATTGACTATATGAATTACAGAGTTGCTTATTGCCAGCAGAAATCGACTCCAGCTGACCTTTGCCAACAAGGAATGTTTTTAAGAGGGTGTGCAGTGGCTCACTGAATGAAAGGAAAAGCTGAAGAACCAAGCTCAGAAAAGGCAGGGGCAGCCAGGGATTCAGGTCTCAGGACTGACTTGTCAGGACTCTACTGCTAGAATGTGAACTTAGGCCCTGGAAGGAGAGGCAAGTTGGCCAAGGTTGTTCAGTATACCTTCCTCCTTGTCTACAGCCATACCACCCTGAACGCACCTGATCTTTTCCAGTATGTCTTCCTTTTTGGCATCTTAAAAAAGCAAGGCATTGGAATTGATGTAGCCACCAGGGGTGAAGATGTAACTCCCCAAGAGCAATTGTCAAAAAAGGGGAAAGGATGGTGGGTAGTCTCCAAACAGTATCTGTCCAGTGACTCTTCCATTTCTGGTGCAGGTATCTCCAAGAGGTAGCTCTCCCACGGCAGGACCACCCCCGCTACCGCAGAAATCACTGGAAACCAGGTAGGAGGCCCAAGCACCTCCGTGGAGCCGCTGTGCTCTCAGGCCCCTCTCGGGGCTCCCGATGTGGCAGTGAGCACAGCCACCATGTCCTGAGCGCACCTGTCCTCCCTTTTGGCCCCAGCAGTGGCCACAAGGGCCAAAATGCTGGAGCAGTCATGAACCTTGCCTACCTGCCCTGGCCACAGAGGGCCTTCCCTTCCCACAGGCTGAAGGTCCGGGTCGTTGTCACTGAGAAAAGACTTGGCCAGGGGTTGGGGCCTCAGAGAAGAGGCGGCTGCACCTCATCTGTGCCCCCTAGTGGTTCTTCAGAGCATCTTGTGAGGTGTGCCTGTCATTCCCGTCAGCCCCTCTGGAACGTCCTTCCTGCTCTCAGGGAATCTAGCCCTGTGACAATCGACATTCTCCAGGGAGGACCATTTCTCCTCACAGGGAAGTTGGTCCAGTTGCTTTGGGGAAGCTTCACATAGCAATGAGCTTATCACAGGCTGGCCTGCGGGGTCACTTCACTGCCACCTGACGGATTCCCTCGAAAATGAACCTATTTCCAGTTCCCTACATCAGCTCTTTAGAACACATTTCCAAGTTATGGGGATCTGGAGCTTTACTGCCGAGAGCAGGCTGCCTTTCAGCCAAGGTATCTGGGGAAGACAGCCGCAAGCGTGGCGGGAGCTTCCCCAGAAGGGCACTGAGTCTTCAGAGGTCTGAAGCCTGTGCACTCTGACCCCCAGTTTCCAGAAAGCCATTGTTCCCTGAGCCTTTAGCCTCAGAGGAAAACAGCAGCGTCAAGGAGGGCCACTGGCCAGTCCTTAGTTTTGCAGAAGAAATTTGGTTGATGAGTTCACTCAGAAGTCGGCACTGAGTGACTCACACTGACCAGACTCACAAGAGACGAATGTACTAACAGATGCTGATTTATTCATATGAACTGAGAAATATCACTGCCCAGGAGAATTGACACAAGGTAACCCTGTCGCCTCTTCTCTATCCAGTTGGTGCCCTTCTCTGCAAAACAGCCCCGGAGAAAGCAAATTCCTCTGAGCAGACTGCTCAGGGCATACAGAGACAGAGCAGAGGGTTGAAGGATCCTAGCAGGTGACGCTTTGGAGCTGTGGCTGATGTGCTCATCTCCACTCCAAGGTGGCACCACCTCCCTCGCTGGATTACTGTCAGACTCCCAGACGAGGCAGTATTGGCTTTTGACTCCACAGACGCTGGCCTTCTTTTATGACCACACAACAGCCAGCTCCCACCGATGCCACCGAATTGAGTGTATTCGGGGTTTTTGAGGAATGCCAAGGACTTTTGATTTGGATTTCGGTGATGCTCTCATGCCCTCACCAAGACATTGTCAGACAGGCCATCCCCAAAGTGGGCCGTTCTCATCTTACGTGTAATGGTTATGATGAGAGGGTGTTTTGTTTTGTTTTTTTCCTGCCCTTGACCCTAAGCCCAAGATAGACTACCAGTTAAACATTTGAAGTGTCCTCTACACGAATGATACCACGTACCTCCTTCTCCAGTTACTGTTTCCTTATCGACTTTCTTTTGTGTTTTCCCAGGGCTCAGAAAAAACTCTCCTGTAGTCTCGAAGACCTGAGAAGTGAATCCGTGGATAAGGTCAGCCCATCAGTCTATCCATAAAGATGCCTGAGTTACTTCTTTGTGCCCAGCACAGTGCTGGGATACACAGGCTGGGTGCTGTCCCTACCTCGTGGAAGCTTTTATCAAGTTTGCTGGGCAGGCAGGAATTACAGGAACATTCTGAGAAAATGTTCAGGTGTGGTGTGGCCTAAGGCATCCTAGAGGCAGGGCAAGTCAGGACACGCTACCTAGAGCTGGTGAGAGAAGACGCTGAGGTGGGCATGGGCAGGGGAAACGGTGCGGAGTAGGAGGGAGTAAGGTCAGAGCCACGAGTCAGATGGAGCCAGAGGACATCTCGAATCCGGGCCCTGTTTCTCCAGGGCACTTGGGAGTGTTGCACAGATTTTGAATGAGGACATAATGTGGATAAAGGAGACCCCGGGGGTGGGTTATGGGATAAAGTAGATTGGAGAGGAAGCTTTTTAAAGAGTCTAGAAAGGCATGTGAGGAGGGCTTTGTGGCCCCTCACCAGGTGGGTAACCCCCATGCTGAAGGGGGAGGGTCGCAGGCCCTTGAGCAGCAAGGTCATTGAAGATGCAGGGGTCCTGCCCTATAGACAACCTTCAGTGACCTTGCCGCATAGATCCCTCGATGTCCAGCAGTACGCCAGACTCCCTGGTGATACAGTAGAAAACCAGGAAGGATGGAGCTGGCAGTGGCTTTGCTCCCACGATCACATGCCTCTCGCTCCCCCAGTCAGATTGCTGGCAGCTGCCCGGGGACATGTGTCCATGAGGTCGGACAGTGACCTGTGTTTCCTCCACGGATGGTGATGATCTGACATAAAGACGGGGAGGGAGGGGTAAGCCTGTCAGGTTCAGGCAGGCAGGTGGCCCTGAGTTGCTGTTGTGACTAACGCAGTTCTCCTTTTCTCCACATAACTGAAATCCTCCTTGCCATCCCATAGTGCGTCGGTGGGAACCAGCTGTCCCCAGTGGTAGAACCCAAGGTACATTAACCGCATGTCCCTTTCGTCTATGTGAGCTTGTGCTGTTTGCCAGAGGCTTTTCACTTAGCAAGTTACAGCTCTGGTAACCTTACGATATGTTAACCGTAAGGGGTATCGGGGTGACAGGAACGACGAAACTTCCTCTCCTGTTTTCTTTCTATGTGCACCCAGCTGGATCCTGTGCTTTCATCTCTATTATCTGTGGGATAGGATTTCTTATCATCTCCTCCATCTTATAGGCTCTGATAATTCCTCTTTGACAAGGCAAAGTAGATCTGATCCCTGGGAAGGGGGATATTATGACCTCAGCACACAAGTAGAGGAATATGACAGCTCTCATCCTTTCTGCGCTGATAAGTCATGATTAAAAAACCCAGGAGCACTTCCCTGGTGGCACAGTGGTTAAGAATCCGCCTGCCAATGGAGGGGACACGGGTCCGAGAAGATCCCACATGCCGCGGAGCAGCTAAGTCCGTGCGCCACAACTACTGAGCCTGCGCTCTAGAGCCCGCGAGCCACAACTACTGAGCCCACGAGCCACGACTGCTGAGGCTCACGCACCTAGAGCCTGTGCTCTGCAACAAGAGAAGCCACTGCAATGAGAAGCCCATGCACCGCAATGAAGAGTAGCCCCCGCTCGCCGCAACTAGAGAAAGCCCGTGCACAGCAACGAAGACCCAACGCAGCCAAAGATAAATAAATAATTAAAACAAAAAACCCAGGAGCACACTCAGTCTCAGGTGCAAGGATCCTTCTGTAGCGTCCCCTCACATGGGTGTCTGGCCCTTGCGCTCTGTGACTAAGAGCTCATGACATTGTAAGACACCCCCTGTGTTCTCTTCCAGCTCTGTCTGTTAGATCCATCTCTGGGCTTCCCTAGAAGGAGCATCCGCAGATCGGCTCCCGCTGTGGAGTCCGTGGAGTGAGTCAGTCTCCCCTGCTCCTCACAGCTCTAGAATTGGAGTCCCTCAGCCCCTCTCCGAGTTACCATCTTCTCATGTGCACAGGGCACAAGCCCTTAAAGTTCCTATTCTGTCACCTTAGGATGAGCACTTGGTCCTCGCTGCGTGCTCTGCGTCGTGCCCTGGGCCACACTTGAGCCTGATATTGTCGATGGGGTCTGCCCCGTGCACGCCTCGCTCCAGGGACTGATGTCGTGGTTACTGCTGTCGCTCCAGACCCTGGGCAAAGGATAATTCTCTGCGCCTCTGTGCCTCTGTTTAGTTCTGTCCTCGTGTGCTAGGCCAGAGGCAGGAATTGTTATTCTTTATTTAGAAACAATAAAACTGAGGTTCTGAGGGCTTAAAGAGAGTGAGGGTTTGGCCCGAGTCGGTCTGACTCACAGCCTGGGGTCTTCCCGCTCAGGTGTGCTACCTCTGTGCTGTTTTAGGGCAGCTGGGTCATCAGCCACATCTGCTGCTCCTTGCCTGAGATTTCCATCCCCCACCCCTATAACCAGGGTTATTCTTCTCAGAGACTGCAGGTGCAGAACCGACCTTAAGCATTTCTGTTTCCTCTGTGTCGTGTGCTGATGTTGCACCCCTTTCTCCAGCAGTGAGTCCTTCCTTCCTAGCTTCTCTTCTTGGCTGAGCAGAGCTGAGAGAGAGCCCTTTCCGCTGCCCTTGGTTCCTTTCGTCGTCTTTCTCACAGGTCTCGGCCGCCTTTGAAGCCCGCGTTACAGGAGGCTCTCCCCTCTTTATATCTCAGTTCCTCAGCGACCTCCCAAGGCAGCCCACATGGGAGGCCTTGGTTGTCTCTGCCCTGTCTTAGGGAGGCCTGTGTGATGATGCAACAGGAGATCTGTTCCTGAGCCCTCCCCACTCCCACATCTCCTGTACAATACGGAGCTGGGAGGCACGCCCTTCAGTTCTCGAAACTTTTTGAATTCTGCCTTCCCCACCATCAGTGGTTCCCGGGCCTGACTGCGCATCAGAGTAATCTGAGATTCATTTTAAAAACACAGACTCCCGGGGTGCCCTGCCAGAGGGGCTGGTTCATGGGTGCGGTTGGGACCTGGGAATTTATATTTACAAGCGTCCCAGGTGATTATGAAGCAGCCCTTGCATGGGCTAGTATTTGGAAACTGTTGGTCTTGACCACAGGTCTGATCAGGTTCAGCCTGTACCTCATGGGTCATCATGAATTTAAAAATTGTGTGGTCTCCATCTCTTAAGGTTCCACTTATTTTCACTTCACCAGCCAGTTCCTTCAGAATCCCTTGAAAATTTAGCCCACTATTCTCGTATCTCTCCTTTCTGAGATGATTTATAGAGGATTAGTATTCAATGTTCAATGACTGAATTGGATTTCAAACAATTTCCAGGACGTGCCTTTATAAGCAAACTGAATTCAGAAATTTATTGGGCACTTGGCTTTTAACTAAATGAAACTTCAAAAGATGTCACCGCTGGGGACTTCCCTAGTGGCGCAGTGGTTAAGAATCTGCCTGCCAATGCAGGGGACACGGGTTAGAGCCCTGGTCCGGGAAGATCCCACATGGCACAGAGCAACTAAGCCCATGCGCCACAGCTACTGCAGCCTGCGTGCCTAGAGCCCGTGCTCAGCAACAAAGAGAGGCCACCGCAATGAGAAGCCCATGCACCGCAACAAAGAGTAGCCCTCGCTCGCGGCAACTAGAGAAAGCCTGCACACAGCAATGAAGACCCAACACAGCCAAATAAATAAATAAATTTATAACAAAACAAAAAAAAGATGTTACCGTCACTGAAGTCTCCCATTACTTTTCTGACTTGTCAGTTCTGAAATCGGTTTTGTCTTTCTTCTTTTCTACTTTTCTTCTGGGTCCGGTTAAGTGATCCACAGTTGATTACCTTGGTAACGTTGCTTTGATTTCTCTTTTCACTCAAATGCATTCCGCTGTGTTTCCCTCAGGTTTGTGGACGTAGGGCCCATTAAATCCTTCTTGACCAAACAAGTGCCATTCTTCTTCCCCTTTAAATCAACTTGTTTCTTTGGGACCCTTTCTGTGGCTGGGGTCCGAGCACGGGGCCCACTGCACTGGGGATGAACCTCATGCAGACTGTGGTCCTAAGTTCCTGGGGAGCTCCGTGCTGGCATGTAGCCCTCTGGCCCGCTTCTGCTCACACCTCCCCCCAAGTGTGTGCTTACCGTCTTGCTTCACCTTAACCTGGTATTTTTCAAAATAACTATCATCGTAATATATAAGTAATAGATGATATTATATATTCTAAACATACAATAAAGCGATAGGTATAGCTTTTTTTTTTTTTTTTTGCGGTACGCGGGCCTCTCACTGTTGTGGCCTCTCCCGTTGTGGAGCACAGGCTACGGATGCGCAGGCTCAGCGGCCATGGCTCACGGGCCTAGCCGCTCCGCGGCATGTGGGATCTTCCCGGACCGGGGCACAAACCCGCGTCCCCTGCATCGGCAGGCGGACTCTCAACCACTGTGCCACCAGGGAAGCCCATAGGTATAGCTTTTATTGGAATTCTGGTCTGTGTATTCAAAGAGCTTTAAGGGTAGTTCACAGCTGTTGATTCCTTGAGCCTCTGAGCGCGAGGCCAAACGGCAAAGCCTTCCCTTTCTGCTTGGACTCGGCTGCAGTCAGCCCTGGATGTGGCCTCAATTCTGTCCCCATCTCACTGTGTGGCTTTGGGCAAGTTTCTCTCTTTCTCAGCTCTGATCCCATTTCCTGGCCTGGAATAAATAATCTTTTTGAGGGGTCTTTGAGTCGGCCTAACTTTAAAAATGGCTCTTAGAGAACGGGGAGTTGTTTCTGCATCCAGAGATTTCCTAACTGGGTTTGAGGCTCTCTCTCCCTCTCCTTCCAATAGGACGGCCCTTTCCTGGTGGAGCACAAGTACCCCACGTTACCTGGGAAGCTTTCAGGAGCCACGCCCAACGGAGAGGCTGCCGGATCTTCTCCCACTGCCTCCCCACATGACCCTGCAGGGAGCGGCCTGCTGAGGCTGAGTGAGTGTCCAGGTGCCAGGCTTGGCGGCCTCTGGAGCCTTGGCATTTCTACTGTTGCACGAGGTCCCTGCACCCCCTGCCATAGCCCACAATTGGAGAACAGGCGTGGGCACGGTGGATGGGACAAGTCCTACCTCAGGGTGGTCCCACGTCCAGAGGTGACTGCTGTCTGTCTGGGCACAAGGTTTCCTGCCAGAAACACATCAGAGCCCAAGAGAACCAGGGTGTGTACCCACCTTCTTTCCACCTGCAATTACTCTACCCCCATTGCCCCTCCTCCTGTCTTCCTTCTCTCTCCACCTGCTCCTGGCCTTCCCGTCATTCCTCTTTCCCTCCCGCTTAGACACCCCCTCCCACTACCCCCTCCCTGGCCCTGCCCCCTCCTCCTCTGTTCTCCTGATCTCTTTCCTGTCTCCGCCTTCCTCTCTGCAGCCTCCCTATTACCCATAGGATGATACCATGTGCTCTTCCAAGGGAGAGCGTTTCCTTAGAGAAGTGGAATCAGTGGCCACTGGGCAAGGCTGTCAGTCCCCAGGTTTCCTTCTGGTGCTTAGCATCTGAAATGGAGGTCTCTGCACAGTAGGCTGTATCTCCCCAATAGCAGCAGATCAGTGGGGCCCAGAGAGGAACGTTCTGGTCCCGACAGAGCCGTCCCTCCCCCTGACTCCTCCTCCCTGGCGGAGGAGGGCTTGGCTTCCCCACTACGGGTTGACTTCTGCCCTTGGCCAGTCCTGCCTTTGGCTGCAGGAACTCCAGATGAGTATGTCCTAGCGACACTCAGACTGGACTTCCCGCACCTTCGGACCATTCTCGTCTGATCTAAGTGAGCTCTGGCACCCACACAGGAGCAGTGGGCGGCCCGGGGTATTCAGTCCCCGCTGCCCCCCGCCCCTCCCCGCACGTGGATGCCTCACCGGCCAGGAAGCGACACCAGGAGTATTCAGTCCCCTCACATAGGGCTGCCTCTCGCCGCCGTGACCCTGTAGGTCAGGCTCAGTCACCATTCACCCCCATCCTTCCTCGTGGGATTAGTTTTCTTTCTGTTTGAGTTTTTCCCTCTTGCTTGATGACTCTTGTTTATTTCTTTGCTTCCCTGTAACTCTGTTGGGCTGGACTTTGGCCTCTCTTGCTTCTTCGTGTGGCTTCTCTGCTTCTTGGTTGGCTGGAGATCGTGGCCGGAGTGTCAGTGCCCCCGTGCTAGGTACTGTACCCTTCCAGGTGAGGTGGGGAGTGAGATTCCCTTATTTCCCTCCGGTGACACCCTCCCTTTCCTGAACATTCAGCCAGGTCCCCCTCCTGCTTGTATTCCCGCATCTCCCTGGGGGAAAAGAGAGGAAGCTCCTTGCTGGAGTTACCCTGCAAGTTTTGGGACCCCAAACTCTTAGAATTTGAAGACATTTGCTCACCCAGATTTGAAACCTTAAGCTCGCTAACTCCCCAGAGAGAAAACCTGGAGTGTGCCTGAGCCCCTGCTGGTCTCTGAGATCTTGCTGTAAAGCTCTGTCCTAAAGGCAGAGCTGGGCAGACTTCCTGACTCCCACTGAAGGGATGGCCCAGGCTCAGGGAGAAGGTTTGCAGAGGTCATGTTCCTTCTTGTCATTCACATATTATTCCATTCTTTCAATCTCAGGAGACACAGAAAGTGGTTGGGACGACACTGCTGCGGTCAATGACCTCTCATCCATGTCATCGGGCACCAAGTCCAGCCCCCAGTCTCCCCTGACACCAGATGGTAAACGGAGCCCCAAAGGCATCAAGAAATTCTGGGGAAAGTAAGTCGGTGATGACCGTAATTATATTGCTTGGAACTAATATTGTTCCTGAGTGGGCAGAACATCTCCATAACCCCCTGTATAATTAGATGCTGGAACAGCAGTAAGTACAGAGTGGTTATGTGTAGAGAGAAGACTTTGAATCACTTTTTAGGGCCCAGAGAAGGAGAACTGTGAAAGGAGCCCATTAAATATAGCTGGTTGCCTTACGTGTCATTCATTTTAGGCATCCATCCGTCCCACAGACCCTAAGCACATCCTCTGAAGCTTACATATGTGCTTTGGAGAGGTACATGGGTGAGACCAGTTTCTTCCTCTGCAGGACTCAGTCTGTGTCTTAAGAAATCTTTGAGGACAGAAAGATGAGTCCTTTCTGGCCCTGCTGACTGAGTCTGTGAAATGAGACAGAAACTGGGGCCTCCTCTCAGGCAGCAACCTGCACTTTGACCCCCGGGGAGAGGGGTCCAATCCCAGAGGTAGGGTTAGAATTGAGGCTGGGTCTGGCCAAGGAGCTGTCACAAGTCTTGATGCTGGACCTCTGGGGAAGCACCGGGAGGCAGGGGTTCCATCCCAGTGCCCCAGAGCCCCGGTTATGGCTCGTGAGGCCCTGTGTGGGAGGCGTGCACTGACTACAGGCTTTCAGCCTGCCCTCTGACGTCTCCACGGATTCCTCTCCACACAGAATCCGAAGAACTCAGTCAGGAAATTTCAACACCGATGCCCCAGGGGTGGCCGAGTTTCGACGAGGTGGATTCCGGGCAACTGCAGGGCCAAGACTCTCTAGGACCAGAGACCCCAAGGGTCAGAAAAGGTAAGGCTCCCTCCAGTCCATCTCCAAGGAACTGTGTAAAATCCTGGCTAGGCTGGAGTGGGAAGGGGGGCTGGATGCCCCAGAGCCTCCAGAGATGGAAGGCAGGACCCCCTAGTGCAGAGCTTCTTGACCTTTCCCCTTTGACATGTGTGGACATTGCTCACGCTTATTTATAAGTGCACGGAGGTAAAGGCAGAGGCTGCCTACAGCCAGAGGTGCTGGGGCAGGAGGTGGCGCTCCGGCCCGCCTGAGAACCCCAGCAGCTCTGCACATCTGCAGTCCACTCTGGGCAGGGCCTTGGCGTGACAGGTTGAGAGGCTCCGCTGCAGCCATTCAGAGCACAGATGCTGGAGTCAGAGACCTGGGTTGGAATCTCTGCTTAACCACTTCCTAGCAGTGAGCCCTAAACCAGGTTCTGTAACTTCTCTATACCTCAGTTTTCTGATCTTTGAAGTGGGACGGGGGCGGGGGGGGGGGCCGCAAAAACAAGTATTTGTGAAAGTTCTTGTGAGGATTATGTGAGCTCCTGCACATCTAACCCTGGTATCAGCTGTCTGCCATTCAAGCATCACCTTCCCCTGGGAGACTGGGGAGAGAGCAGCACCTGCCTCTGGGGCGGGGTCCCCTCCTTCCACACAGACCTCTACAGAAGGGTGCCGGGGTGCCAGTCTGCCCTTATCCCTCATGACACACTGTACCACACCTTCCTGAAGGCTTAACTGGAGGGAGTTGTAAAGGGATCAAAATGGGAAGTTTTGCATGACTGTTCCCATCACGCCCTAATGAAAAAGCATCAGTAATGAAACTTTCCCAGAGATCGCCCTGGTGGACCCCCTCCAGTCACCAGCTTTACCCCGCTTCCTCAGATCTCCCTGCTCTGAGAAGAGTGCCTCCCTTCCGACTTGCCCAAGTGAATCTTTACTCCTACGTCTTAGGGAAACCCTCTTCTGCACCCTCTGCTCAGGGTGATGATCCCCACAATACATTGTCTCCAGCGGAATATCTCCTAAAGTCTGAGTTACTCAGCCAAGGTCAGGCTTCTGGGGGCCTTCCTCAGGATTGGACTGTGACATTTTAAATCTAACCAAACAGTGAAGAGTAAGATTTAACCCTCTTAAATTTCATCCCCCTAAGATTGCCATATACCAGTGCCAAGTGCAGGTAATTACTGAGTAAGATGTGCACAACTCACACGTTAATTCTAGAAACCATACAGTCTAGATCCCAATGAAGGGGGAAGAATGCTTCCCTGGTGCAACATATTGTTCACAGGCCTGATCCCCGCCAAAGAAGGGAGCACACACGGATGCACCCTGCTTCCCCACTCAGCCCCCCTCAGGTCCCTAGGCTTGGCCAGGCGCTCCCATGTACACACTCAGGACCTTTGGTGAGCATCCCCAGATCCATCCTCCAGGTGCCTTACAGAGAAACCCGAGGATGCGTAGCCTCCTGGTTCTGCTCCCCCAGGATCGTGGAGTGGTGTTTACGCTTCTAGTCACAAAAAATGCTCAGTAAACGTTAGCTTTCAGAGGCTAGAGAATCTAAGCACATGGTCTGAGAAGGCAGAGACCAACTCAGAGACATTAGAAAATGAGCCAAAGGAAGCATACCCATGTAGTCCATGAAAAGAGAATTCTAATCTACTTGGCAATCTTCTGACCTTAGGCGTGAGTGTTTCTGATGGTTCTGAGATGAAAAAATAAAGCCACCAGAGCTTGAGTGATGGATTTTTGTTCCACTTCTGGCTTTTCTTTAGGAATGATTCTTTTTTTTTTTTTGCGGTACGCGGGCCTCTCACTGTTGTGGCCTCTCCCGTTGCGGAGCACAGGCTCTGGACGCGCAGGCTCAGCGGCCGTGGCTCACGGGCCCAGCCGCTCCGCGGCATGTGGGATCTTCCCGGACCAGGGCACAAACCCGTGTCCCCTGCATCGGCAGGCGGACTCCCAACCACTGCGCCACCAGAGAAGCCCTAGGAATGATTCTTGAAGGGGGAATCACTGGTCAGGGTGTAAAACTTTTCTAAGACCCTCAGGTATTTTTCCTTAGGGCCCATCCACCATCTTACAAGTCCCTTTGGTATGGGGCAACCAGTGTAGGGAACCTTCTCTGCCGAAGTCGAAACTGCAGTTCAGCCACAGGGTTGCTTTGTTTGGGTGACTGTGTGCTTTGTAAACAGTAGCAATGGATGACAAGGAGAATGGGAATGGAAGGCCTGATGAGACTGTATGTTTATCACCACTCTGCTTACGGTAACAAAAATGAGTTTGCCGGTGGGAAGGAAAGGCTCTTATTACTCTTAAACAGAAATGCGATCTAATTATATGCTAATGTCCTCTGGTATTTATAGTTTGTAGATATCTAGGTATAGCCTTAAAAAAATTTTGTCACCAACATTCCTATAGGAAAAGTCCGTTGTTACTGAAAATCTCCAGCCCCAATCCATTTTTTCCAGTGAAACAGTTGTTTTTTAATATAACACTTGATAATGACATTTCGTAGGAACTCTCTCTCAGGTTATGAGTAAGTTTTTTGTTCTCCCCATTTTGCTGATTTACGTTCTAGTCGGCGCCGCTGTACAGTGAGTGCTTGTTGCATCTACAGCCTTGTCAGCGTTGTTATTGCAGCTTTTGTTTAAAGTTCTAGTTTTATAGACCTCCAAAGATTACATTTTTATTATTTAGTTTACATGTTTGTTATCTCATTTCTTTTGTGAACTGCGTGCATTTTTGCCCATTTTTATTCAGTTATTAATATCTTTTATTTAACATCTTTCTTACAGATTTCTATCTGTTCTCTACATATTAAGATACTAAGCCACATCTAAAAGTTGTAACAAATTATTTTTTAGGTTTGTTGCAGAATTTTACTTTGATATATGAAATTTTCAGGTTTGTGTATAATGAAGTTCATCAACTTTTCCTTTGTGATTTCTTTCATTATTTTGTTTTAAAATTTTTTGCTGATTTGTTTAAAAAACTGGTTTTAAATTATGAGTTTAAAAAAGTGATTTTTTAAAACTTTGCAAGTTATCTATTTGGGGATTTATTTTGGTGTGTGGTGAGAGAGGTTTTTTTCCCCCAAGAGAAAGCAGAGTGTAACGTTTTAAGTCTTGAAAGCCACATGGCCGGATCCCATCCTTGTGGAGGGGTTTTCTGAGTTGGTCTACAGAGTGTATTGCCCTTAGGGACTCTAGCTTATGAGGGGTCTCTGATCGGACTGCTTCCCTGCTTCAGGCCCCATTTTACTGCCTTTCTCCCATATTCACTCTCAGTGTCAGGTTTATCATGAATGTAAGGAAGCTTCAGCTTCAAAGTCAGTTACTTGCCTAGACCCCTTCCATGGTCCAGAGAGGGTCCAACCGATGTATTGACAAGGCCGTGTGTTTTGAAATATTTTCGTAAGTAAGATATTTTAAACAGTTTTAAGACTGCTGACTCTTTACTCCAACTTACCCCTTGGTCTACACTTTACCTGATATCAGACGATGCTGGAATACCCATGGGCATTTTGGGGATCTGGCTATGGGGAGGTTGAGTTGGGGATCCATTTAGTTTGGGTTTAATGGGATTATGCTTATGTGGTTTGCAGGCACTTCATGTCTGGTTTACTTAGGTTTAGTTAATTAGCTGTCCTACTATAAAAATGGCTTCCAATGTGCCAGTGTGCCCAGCATGACTGATACAAAGATGCAAAGTCAGAGATCTTGCACCAAAATGAACTTGTCCTCTGGCATTTGGTTTCAGAAGTATGGGGTAGTGGAAAAAGAAAGAACATTTGCAATTTGCAAAACCAGAAGCCAGTCTGTGGAAATTCTTTCCAATCATCAGATTTGCCAAATCCTCAGCAGGAGATTCGGTTCTCTCAGATGCTTAGTCAAAACAGAAGTCCTCTCTTTTCAGAAATGCACTTACTAATGAAATATATACATACAGTCGTAAGTGTACCGTGTTCTCCGTCTACCGTGGGAATGGCCTATTTGATAAATCTCACATCATTTTAACTGCAATTTGGAGGGATGTTTTGGAACATGTCAATAAAACAAGTGGTTTGGCTGTATACGAAAGGTACTTTCTCTGTCATCTCTAAATTACTTAGTAGCATGTTCAGCTGTGGCCCTGGACAAGCGTATGGGAGGCCCGGGCACTGACAGAACCCCAGCAGTTGGGGAAGCTGGGCTGCTACTGTGGGAGCAGACCACTCACAAAGGGGGAGATGGGAAGACGATCGAGGGTAGAGGAGCATCAGAGCTCTAGGGTGTTATGAAAAGGTCTACAGGACAGAGGCTTTCAAATTACAGTCTCAAAAACACTTATTTCCCCTCAGAACTGAAATATCCCTCTGATACGTAGAATATTTGTTTCTTTCCAATTCCCAGAAACCAGAAAATAAATGAAATTGAAAACTAATAGGATATGAAATAAAGGTGATAAAATGAGCATTGAAATTGAGAAACTATTCTGATAATTTTTTTAAAATCCCAGATCAAACCAAAAGCAATAATTCACTAAGAGCAACAGATAAATTCCAAACAAAAATAGTAACTAGGTTCCCAGAGTGTTGTTCATATAAAGTGAATTATATGAACACATTGGCAAAAGATGAAAATTTCTTGCTGATTTTACGTGATATACTGACATTGACCAAGACGATGTTGCCTAATGTGCAACAGCCACGAGGACATTAAGTAAATGTTATCAGTTCAAAGAACAGAATATTTAAGATTAGCACTAAAAAACTTGAACGCTATGGAATTTTACAGCTCGCATCTAAAAGACAATTGATAGAGGTTTTCCTAAATTTGATGATTCTAAAAATATATTTGACAATACCATTTATAAGTTGTGAAGCTAAAACTTAAAAAAACTATCAAAATAACAAAAGAATATTGGTCAGTCATGCTAGAAGAAAGATGGAAAGCTTCTCACAGAAAATATAGCCCCACCCCATCCACTCATTCAAACAACTGCAGATCGGATTTCCACTGGTTGAATCCGTGGATGCGGAACCCGCAAATACAGAGGGCTGAGTGAACTATGCCATTTTATATAAGGGACTTGAGCATCCCTGGATTTTGGTGTCTACGGGGATCCCGGAACTAATCCCCTGGCAGATACAGAGGGACATCTGTTATAGAGCTGTTGACATATGATAAAGCAAAGAATATGCACCCCAAACGTGAAGGTAAAGTACTATAGAGGTATATCTAGGAGTTAATTAATAAAAATAGTATTTTTCTGGATTTCATGATCTTTTTCAGTTTGATTAGATTTGTAATTTTTTGTGATTTGTTTTCTTATTCTAAATAGTCATTTTGTTCCTAATTCCATATTCAAACTGTGTACTTTTCTTAGCGGGGCCCCCAAATTTTATAAGTTCCAGTTTTCACGAAACCTGGATCTGCACCTATTCATGATTCATTAAAACCCAGGCTCCAGGCTGAGTGACCAGCACCTGCTCTAAGGTACACATCATCTCCAGCACTTGTTCTAGAATGGTGCTTTATGGTCATCCTGGCCCTTTAAGGAACACCCACCCTCACTTTAAGAAAATTTTTGATGCCTGCCTCATCTAGGCATTAAAAAAAATTTTTTTTAAACCATTTTAGGAATACTTTCTTGGAAGGAATGTTTTAGAATAGCTAGTCTTCTATATTGCATGAATCCTCCTTTAAACAAATGAATATAGGGCTTCCCTGGTGGCGCAGTGGTTGAGAGTCCGCCTGCCGATGCAGGGGACACGGGTTCGTGCCCCGGTCCGGGAAGATCCCACGTGCCGCGGAGCGCCTGGGCCCGTGAGCCATGGCCGCTGAGCCTGCGCGTCCGGAGCCTGTGCTCCGCAGTGGGAGAGGCCACAGCAGTGAGAGGCCTGCGTACCGGGAAAAAAAAAAAAAAAGAATATAAAGTTGCTTTGTCGACCTCCATGCCCCCCCTGCCCCCAAGAGTCAACTGGGATTTTGAGTGTACCATTACCTTTACACTTTAAATGAAATTGATGTCTTTAAGAACTGATGGCTTTGTAATACCCAGGCTTCCTGTCTAGGAACATGATGTAGCTCTTCAGTTATTCATGTCTTTTTTTATGCTGCTTAGCTGTGTGTCATAGTTAGCACCTCCCCCCACCCCCACACACGGTTACACAGGACCCACACATTCCTTATAAAGACAGATCCTAGACATTTCATAATTTTGGTTGCTGTGAGTGGATTATTTGAACAAAAATGTTAGTATCTGTGCATTGATGGTATACAGAAAATTGTTGATTTGTGTATGTCATAAACATTAGGAGTGTGTGTATTTATAACCAGCCACCTTCCTGAGTTCTCTTGGGTTTTCTAGGTGGGCAGTCATATCATTTGAAAAGAATGGCTTTCTTTTATTTCTACCTTTCTAATAGCTATATTTTTATTTTTGTCTCTTCTTATATTTGCTGCAACTCTCAGACTAGTGTTACTGTGATAAAAAATACTGTCTTTATTAACTTTAATGTGAATGCCCCTAGTGTTTCAACAGTTAATAAGGCATTAACTGTTGTTGACTGGAGGAAGGTTTTCTGTTTGTTTTTTTTTTAATGTTAGATATGCTTTTCCTAGTTTTCTAAGCATTTTCCTGAAAACGGTATTAAGCCCTGTGTAAAACATGATTCAGGTGTGGATCTTCATCCAAATGGGCTTTGGCTCGCGTGCATGTGTATGCGGACTGATAGCACACGTGAGCACAGCTTCCTGAGGAGCATATAACTGCCCCAAGCTCCCGGCAGCTGCAGACTTGAGATTCAGACCAGGGGTTATCGCGGGAAACTCTAGAGTCTACCTCCGATGAGTGCATTGTAGTGGGATTTTGTTCAACTGGATCCCACGATGGGGGTTTTTGTTTAAACCTAGTCCCTTTTTGTGAGGCGCTGTTATGTTCAGCTGGAGCCCAGGCTCTCCCGATAACTGGGTCGTGCTGTTTCCTGCTTCCCAGTGATGCCAACGGCCCCTTCGCCCAGTGGAGCACAGAGCGTGTGTGTGCATGGCTGGAGGACTTTGGCCTGGCTCAGTACGTGATCTTTGCCAGGCAGTGGGTGACTTCTGGCCACACGTTACTGACAGCTACCCCTCAGGACATGGAAAAGGTAAGGGCTGAGCCCTGGGCTAGGAGGCTCCCATCTCTCCCCAAACCAGCGCACAGGGAAGTGAGGCCCCCCACTCCTCCACTGCCCACCCACGCCCACACACAGGAGAGTTGACAAAGGAGGGCGAGATTCTCTCTGTCACTTCAGGTTGATCCCAGGGCGCTGGGCAGAGGTCCGCTTCCATGTTCCACCCAGGTGGAGTACCTCCACCGAGACACAGCATCCTCTGAGGGCCAGGCTGCCCGCCGAGATTTCACATCTGTCTTCATCTTTCACTTTCAGGAGCTGGGAATTAAGCACCCTCTTCATAGGAAAAAGCTGATTTTAGCAGTGAAAGCTATCACCACCAAGCAGGAGGAGAAGTCTGCACTACTGGACCACATCTGGGTGACACGTAAGGACAGGCATATGTGTGTGATGTTTCTGGCAGCCCCCTGGGAATGTGTGCCTCAAAGACAGCTGTGTCCTTGGGACAGGCGGACGGATTACTAAACCTTAGGGGAAATATAGCTGGAACTCAGAATGATAATGTGCTGGTGCCTTTTTTTTTTTTTTTTGGCATCCACAGTCTCCCGTTTTCACAAATTTCACTTCCCTGTTTCTGTAGGTTGGCTTGATGATATTGGCTTACCCCAGTACAAAGACCAGTTTCACGAATCCAGAGTCGACGGGCGAATGCTGCAGTACCTAACTGTGGTGAGGATCCTTCCTCCAGTGTTTCAGTTGTCCCTGTGAACACCCAACTCAACTCAGGTGTCCCCATGGCGGTATTTAAACTTGATTCCACACCTCCCTCATATCCCTTGGGTCTAAAACAGTGTCGTTTGTCACATAAGAGGTCCCAATGAGCAGAGTACGAACCATTGCTCCAAGGAAAGCTGTTATGTGTCCACATGCATTCCTGACGTGTAGTAGACCACTTGTCTGTGTACGGTCTGGGAAGGAGCCTCGGTGGGTGTTTGTCACTCTGGAAGCTCTGGTTCATCAACCAAAACTTTACTTTTCCAGAATGATCTACTTTTCCTAAAAGTCACCAGCCAACTACATCATCTCAGCATCAAATGTGCCATTCACGTGCTGCATGTCAACAAGTTCAACCCTCACTGCCTGCACCGGCGGCCAGCTAATGAGGTGAGGACAGGACACTCTATCTGTCCAGGTAGCCCTCAGCCGGGACACCTGTAAGATCGGGTGTGAGAAAACCAGAATGACATGGCCATAAAGTGGCTGCATTTTGGCCCATGGTGCTGCGGATTCTTCCCTTTACTAGGGCTTCATGGTGTCCCAACACGCCTGTGGCCTGAACTCTGCGTCCCACAGCAGCCACTAGCCCTCCAACTCCTCCCTCCTTTTGGGAGACATATGCTATGGGCTGGAGGGCAGTAGCAGCAAGTCTTTCAAAGCCATCATAGTGATTAAAGGAGATGAGGAAATGGAGCAAAGTGGAGGGAAGGGCGAGACAAAATGGAAAGACGGTGTCAAAGTAGGCAGAGGAGAGAAGAAGAGGAACCCATAAGTAACCAGACATTTCAGAACAGATCTCCCCACTCGTTGGTAGAAAATTAACTGACCTCCAGGCCCAGGCGCACAGGGAATCCATGATCAGGTTTTGCTAGAGAAGAAATGGTGGAGGTAAACACAGCAACCCAAATCCTGGGGAATTCCCTGATAATGTTTAAGGAACCTCGGAGTTCTGGGTGGGCCCCAAAGCTACAGGATTGTCAGTCACACCCCGTCTCCTATGTTCATGGGAGCCAAGACTAACCCTGCTGTAAGAGTAACTCAGCTTTCCAGGGGATTAAAAATTCATATCTCTACTCTCTGTCCCCTCTTTTCTCTCTGTTGCACAAACACATTTTGAACCTTCTATATGTTAGGCACACTGCTGGGCATTTTGAAGACCCAGGTGCCACTTGAGGGTACTCGGGTATAAGTATCTTAACATGTGTTCTCCCAAAACATTTGGCCACACCAGTGAGATCTCGATTCTATAAAAACACTCAGCTCGTAACTGACAGTCCTCTTTAAAGTTCTGTTGAATCACTGAATGAATAACTCTGTACTCTCATGTGTTAGTCCCAAAGTAACCAGAGTCAGGGAGTAATGGGATTCTGGAATCAGATATCTCAGTGTAGAAGTGCAAGTTCAATGAGAGCTTTATTTCTTGGAAACTGGGAGGGCTCTCAGGCAGCTGGCCTGGAGGCCTGGGTCTGTAGGCGTAAGGATTGTCTTCGGCAAGGCGTTCGGGGCCGGCTGACTCACAGGGACTGGCTCCACAGAGGACCCTGGTAGGACCTGTAGGCCTAACTTCTCCACTCTCCTTCTCTCTCTTACAGAGTAACCTTTCTCCTTCAGAAGTCGTGCAGTGGTCCAACCACAGGGTGATGGAATGGTTGCGGTCCGTGGACCTGGCGGAATATGCGCCCAACCTTCGTGGGAGTGGTGTCCACGGAGGTCTCATTGTGAGTGGCTCTTTGGGCTGGTCCACCTGCCTCGGTGACACCTGGGGTATTCAGAAACTGATGTCTTAAGGGCTAGACAGGCATCCCAGTAAGAAATGTTGATACTTCATCTGAGCCCCTTGCGTAAATTGAGTCTCAAAGTAGAATCTGATCATTTGTGGCTGAGAATTAATAGATTTCATGCAAACAAGATGGCTTCTGGAAAGACTTTCCGAGCCACAGACCCAGAGGAGTCCAGGAAAAAGGGGCTGCATGAGAACTGCCTGTTAACCAGGCAGCTCCAGCTGCTGCTGGAGGCACACAGGGCTTGGGAGGGAGGGGAGGCCACCAAAATGTACCCTCTTGCTTGTCATGACACGATCTGCATCAGCACTTGTCAAGTGGCAAAGCCAGCAGGGAAAGGAGGAAGGGGTGGCTCAGTTGTCCTCCAGATAGACCCTGGGAGACAGCCTTATAAAGAGCGCACAGCTCTCTGCTGGTTGGTCACAGAGCCAGGCCCTGGGCCAGGGAGACAGAGGGGAGGGGGACACAGGACAAGTGGATGAGCCTCAGCCCCTGCCCTGGGGCCACCCGGGCTCCTGGGGGCCTGTTTCTCAGCGTCATCACCTAGAGCCACCGGTGGTCGCCACTGGGTGGCTTGTCTGTGGTTTCTTCTTAGATCCTGGAGCCACGCTTCACTGGGGACACACTGGCCATGCTTCTCAATATCCCCCCACAAAAGACACTCCTCAGGCGTCACCTGACCACCAAATTCAATGCCTTGATTGGCCCTGAGGCTGAGCAGGAGAAGCGAGAGAAAATGACTTTACCTGCTTATACGCCACTGACCACCACAGCCAAAGTCCGGGTGAGTCGCCAGGCCCTTTCTGGGGTGGCCACAGGGGCCTGCCTTCTGGCCCTTGAGTTGGGTAGCAGCTGACCCAGTGCCTGGAGCCAAACCCAAGTGGGCCGCCTGGACAAGGAGGCTCTCTTGGCTTCTGCCTTGGTTTCTACCTTCGGTTTGATTTTGTTACTTTTGTTAGCCTAGTTCCCGGCCACTCTTGAGTCCAAGGGTGTGGAGGTTTCTTTACACAGAAATGACATACAGGCAGCATGGGGTCCTCTCTCCCAACACTGCCTTGACTGGCCGTGCAAAGCAGACAAGCTCCCGAGTGTGGGTTCCCTTTGGTCAGACCCATCTGCATTCCACATGCCACGAGGGGTCCTGGTCTAAGCTGTCTTGCCAACATAAGGAGTGTCCCTGTGGGTAGCCAGCCGTGGCCACCTTGTGCTGTGGAGGTGGCCAGCACACAGCCATCCAGAGGTCCCGAGGTCATCCGAGCACCAGCGCCGCTCACTGGGGCTCTGAATCCCACAAAGCCCGTTCCACCTGCCTGAGCTGTCCTGCCAACTCAGGACAAAGCTGGAGCAGGGAGGAAGGGCCGCCTAGGGCTGTCCGTGTGGCTTCCCAAGGTGCTGTGAACAGAAGGCAGGGGGTGCTCCACGTGTGATACCAAGTCCTCTGAGCTCAGCCTCTGTACAGACTGTGGCAGCCTCTGGGAATCCCCAGTTCCCCCGGGGAATGTGAACATCACTAGTGGGACAGCAGGGCAGGAGTTTCAGGCACGGCGTCTTGGAGGAGCAGCTCTACTTGCTCACGATGATTTATCTGTTGGCTTTTCCCCAGAAGGGCAATTGCTTACAGGAGCTCTATTAAGAGTTTTTCTAGAAGCGGTTTGCCTTATTCCTCTCCTCGTCGGCCTGTTCTAAAATGTATTGTCAGTAGTAGCCGCACACTAGCTTGATCATCTCTTTCTTATAGTCTTGTATCTGCTGTGTTTTAGCCAAGGAAACTGGGGTTTTCACATTTTGGAAACATAAGAAAAAAGAAGTTCGATGAATCGACAGACTACATTTGCCCAGTGGAGCCCAGCAACGGTGTCGGTGACAGTCACAGGGTCTGTATTGGCGACCAGGGCCTCAGCCCCCTCGATGCCCCTGAACTGGATGGACTGAACCAGGTGGGACAGATTAGCTGATGCCTTTGTCACCTGTACTGTCTGTGCGTCCTGAGAGCTCACAGTAACTCCGTGTGTGTCACCATGTAACTGCACCTCACCCCCCGTGTATGTGCATGACTTGCAGAAAACTTTCCAGCCATTGTGTACCCGTGGGCCGGTCTTTCTCCAAATCCTGAGGGTGGCCAGGTATGGAGCTGCATCGCCAGCCTTGGGGACTCAGGAGGAAAGACATAAAGATGCTTGTAGGTTTTCAGTAAGTCTGAATGTCCACCTTCAGCACCAGTGGCAATACCTGAGCTTGGACACAGGTCCAGAGACCACGGACAATCCCGAGGCTGAGCTCTCAGGCCCCTCGGCTGTGCCCCCGTTGAGGGCAATCCCAAGTGCCTTAGGCCTGTGACCACAGTTTTGACTGAGGCTGAAGGGACAGCAGCAGGGACTTCTGCCCCAGTGACAATGGAACTGTTGCGCCTTCCTTCGGAGGCGGTCGCTTCTCTCTGGTAATAAAACCTATATTTATGTAGAAAACAAACTGCACAGCATCTTTAATCTTGTCAAGGGAAGTGAGTTGGGCGCAGCTAGAGATGGAATGCTGCTCATCGCGCAGTTCGAGAGCCAGCGCTGCTGAGCTGGGTCAGGATTTGTGGGTGTCCTGGGTGAGGGGGCTGGAGCAAGGAGGGACCCCCATCCTTTGGAGGTCTGTGGTGTCGCTTCGGGCTCCACTGCCCGGTGTGAAGCTGGGAGGCACTTTGTGTCTCACGTCCTGACTGGAGGTCACATCTCTCGTGCAGACCCCGAAGTCGGTTTCCATTCCAGCGGGATGGGCCACCTAGTGAAGGGGGCGTGGGGAGACCAGGTGGCATTGCTGGAAAGGCCCTCTGTTCTTTCACGTGTTGTGCCGCTCCGCTGTGACTGACCGTGCTGGGCCCGTAACCCCGTGGGGGCTGGTCTGTGTTGGCAGAGCTGGAACAGACCTGTCCTCCTGATTTAGAGGCTGACTAACTGATAATGGGTCTTCCAGACGGGCCTGGCCTGGCCAAGGACAGGGGGAGGGACACACCTGCCAGTCTGGGCTCCTGCTCATGAGATCCCAGTGCAGCTTTTGGCTCTACTGGGTCCCCGGGCCTCGTCTGCAGTAGCACGACGGCAGCACCATAACTGTCTGGCGGACGGGGCAGGGCCTCATGACCCCAGTCTGAACTCTGATTCTGTCCCAGATGGAGGCGATGTGAGGATCTGCTTCTTAAACTACCATGAGTCTCAGGCCATGGCCTCCCGGCCTCCCCTGAAGTCCAGCCAGCAAGAGAGAAGGGCACAGGCTTGCCAGCTGGCATGGCCGGAACCACTGAATGACAGGTGCTCCCCAGGGCTGATACCTGGGCACTGCAGTTTAGAGCCACAGTCAGGGCGGGCTTTGTCCCTTGTTTCTTACCGTGTCCTGGTGGGAGAATCTCCGCACGTGCCTGCTTGCAAACCCTGCATGGAATTGTTATGTCACTAGTTCTCTGTGCAGCCTCGAGCAAGGCCTGTATCACTTTGTGGGCCCCAGTTTTCCTACCTATAAAATGATGGATTATACTCGATGCCCTCAAAGGGCAAACCCACAATGTCCAAATAGGTTTGGGGAAGAAGGAGCAGGCCAGCATTTACCTGAGAAGGAGAGGAGGCAGGCTCCTAGGAGTGAGGACGCCCTGGCAGCTCCCTGAGGATGCCTAGCTGTGCCTATACTGGGGCATCAGTGTCTGGGGTCCTGCTGGTGCCAGAAATTTTCAGTGTGTTCAGCACCCTGATGGCCTTCATCCCTGCCACACTCTGCTCCTGGAAGTAGCTGGAGCACTGAACCTGTGCTAAAGGGTCGCTCTGACAGGGCCCATCTGTGCCCTGCTCCTGTGTCCCCTTAGTGCTGGCGCCGGGGTGGGGACAAAGGAGAGTGTGTGTGTGATGGTGTGGGACACTGGAGGCTCTGCCTTTCCCCCAGGGACAGAAGCAGCATGTGCTCCACCCGTCACTTCTCAGGGCCTGGCCCACTCCTTGCCTGCTCGCCTGCGGAGCACGCCTGAGCAGGATAGGACTTGCATGCCACCTCTGCGAATCACGAGCTCAGTCCTCATGTGCTGACCAGGCTGCTGCCCATTTTACAGATGGCACCTTCGGAAGGCACCCTGATGCAGATAGGGCTCCTCTCCCAAGACATTCACCGCCTCACGGTAGGACCCTGACCCTCTCTCCACAGTAGGACAGGTGCTGGGGAGGCCCCGGGAGTTTGGGGGTGGTGCTGGGCAGCCCCCGGGCCTACTCCAGAGCCTGTGGCATCAGGGCCTCTGCTGGCAGAGAGCAGATGGGGCCGGGGGCTGGAGCCTGAACCAGCCGGGACGGAAGGCAGCCCAGAGGCCTTCTCTGTTGGCCTGCTGCCAGCCTTGAGCTGAAGCCAGCTAAGCTGTGCTAGGTCTCAGGCCCTCTTCCCAGGCCCCAGGCTGCTGAGGAGACCAAGATGCTCAGCAGCTCTGGGTCACCTGCCGCGTCAGCCCAAAGCCCAGGCCTCGCCCCTGGCTTGGTGGCCACTGCTCTGCTCTCTCCATCCATGAGACATATATTTCCTATCATGCCTCTGGCTTCATGGACACCACAGGCACGTGAGCACATCCTGGCATGTCCAGCGGGGACAAGCCATACCATATGAAGCAGCTTGGACCAGGGGAGAGGAGGCACTCTGGAGGGAGGCTGACCTGGTCCCTGTCTGGGACCTCGGGCAAGTCACTCTCTCTCCGAGCCCTGGCTCCCCTATCTGTCAAGCAGGGCTAATATCCTCCTTGCAAGGCTGCTAGGCAGCCCGGAGCTGGTGGTAAAAGGCCAGTCACGAAAAAGATTTACATTGTTGAGGCCCTGTGCCTTCCAGGGCCTCACAGTTCCTAGACAGCCCCAGCACTGTGCCCACCGGCCACAGCGTCCAGCCCGTTGAGGCCTTTGCTGATTTACTGAGGCAGGTTATGAAGGCTGTATCCCAGGGCAAGATGGTCAAGGAGGGGGCGGGTCTCCCCGAATCCAAACAAGATCACTGTTTTCAATTTGTTTTTTTCTTGGCTCACACACTGAAATGTTCACCCAGCCTTGCGCTTATCACTTCTATAGGCCTTTGGTGGCCTTGAAATAGCAACTTTACTTCTAAAGGTAGGAGCAATTTATTGTTGACAGTGTTGTCTATTCTGAGCCAACACGTGGGGTGCCTGGGACACCATGAACTTACAGGGCGCTGGAGTCAGGGCCACACCCAGTGCCCCGCTGCTTCCCACATCGTGGCCGCAGGGCAGCCTGGACCAAAACGCCGTTGAACAGTGCCTTCGGCCGTGTCCTTTCAGACCATGCTCAGCCAGGACCAGCTGCTGACCGACTCCCGCCTGGCCGCTCCCAGCTCTGAGGACTGGTGATGACTGTCTTATCGCTGGCAGCCTGGAGAGGCACGTCTGATGGCCTGAGTCTGCTTCGATGGGAAGCTGGCCCATGGCCACCCGTGGAGCCCAGGCTGGGCTGCAGGGCATCTCCAACATGGGTGCTGACGGGACAAAGCGGGGCTGTGGAACAGATGTCCAGGAGGTGGCCCACATGTCTTCAACTGTGCTGTGCTCTTCGTCACAGCTTTTATACCTTTTGTACTTTTATACGTGGACTGCAGACCACTTTCGTGGGGAGGGCGATGAGATGCCAGCACAGACTCAATGACTCACGCCATCCCTGGTGACAGCTGGGGGTTCTTACACCCAAGGGGAAGGGCTGTGAGTCCTAAAAGCTTTGCTGGAAAAATAATTCTGAATGTTCTGAGCAGGGCGAAATGGTAGGAAACCCCCTCCTGGGCTGCTTCCATACAGAAACGCGTATTCTATTTCCTTTCCCAGGAATCTGGCTGGAGTGACAGCAGGGAAGGAGTAACGGACTCCCTTCCCGCTGTCCTCAAGCCACCCGGTGTCTCAGGGCTGTGGGGCCTCCCAGCACCTGAGCACAGGCGTCTTCGAAGCCTTTCCCTTCTCAGCCTCAGAGGCAACTGTCTGATCAAACCGGCAACCCCCTCTCCCAGCCACCCCGAGGAAGGCCCTCAGGCACCCAAATCAACATTTCCACCGCAACACATCTCAGGTATGCCCTACCTCAGGGAGAGGTACCTGCACACGTACCGGCCACACAATCCCCACCCAACCAGCCTTCCCCCTTAGCGATGGCCCTTCTTCCTCCCTGTGGCGGCTCTAGCTCTGGCCTCATCTCTATCTAATTTCCATGGTGGGTCTCCTACTTGGTCCCTCACCCTTCCTTTCCAGTTAGTCCCCTCCAGGTGTTCTCCACCCCATCCCCCGAGGGACCTTCCCAGAGCACTGTTTCATCCTGTTCCCTGCTAAGAACTCAGTTCCACAACTACCACAGATTAGTGTTCAAAAGCCTGAGCTGAATCTTCGGCCTTCCACGCTCTAGCCTGTGCTCCTGCCTTTCCCTCCCCGTGGAATGTGCTTTTCTCCTAGTCTCTTTCAGGAAGCCTTCGCTGGTGTTTGTTAGGGTTGGAGGTCTCTGTCCCACGGTGCTGACCTTGGGCCCGAGCACTTCCTGGCTCACCTTGAAGTAATGTGTCATCTTTCTCCCCTTCCACACCTATCCTCAACACAACCTCACTGAGCACCTGCTATGGATGGGTTCCTGTACAGACAGGAGTAAGACCCAGTCCTAGCCCTCTGATGGCCCAGGAGATCCATGATGCTAAGTTCTCCATCCACTCATTCCCTCATATGTGCAGGTTGAGTACCTCCCATTCTGGGCTAAGGAGCACTGGGGCTACAGGCATGAATGTCAAGGTCCTTGCCTGAGGGTGGGGATGGTCCACTGTGGGAGTACAGATCTGTTTCAGACAAGAGTGTGCTGAACAATACAGATGCTCCAATAGAAGTGCCTACAGCCCCAAAGAGCAAACTGTCATTTTTAATGGAGGGCTGGGGACAAGGACTGAAAAGGCTCCAAGGAGAGGTGCTACTTGAATTTTGAAAGATGAATCAGCTTCCTCAAGTATGCCAGAGGGGAAAGGCACTCCAGGCAGAGGGACCTGAAACAACCCTGCACATCCAAGGAAGTACCCGAGGTCAGTATGATGAGAGAAGAGTTTCCTGACCTCTGCACTGCTGTCATTTGGGGTTGGGTAAGTCATTGTGCTCGGGGCTGTCCTGTGTGCTCTTGGATGTTTAGCAGCATCCTTGGCCTCTCCCTCTACCCTCTAGATGCCAATAGCACCCCTCTAGTTGGGACAACCAAAAATGTCTCCCGACAAAATCACCTCTAGCTGAGAACCAGTGGGCCAGAGAATGGGGTCAGAGTGGGAGGCCCAAGGAAGGCCAAAAATGTCTCCCGACAAAATCACCTCTAGCTGAGAACCAGTGGGCCAGAAAATGGGGTCAGAGTGGGAGGCCCAAGGAAGGAAGAATCGGGGGAGGTCAGCTGGAGCCAGATCGAGAAAGGCTGTGTAAGCCAGGCTCCTGAAATTTATCTTGGGGACCCAGGGTGTCCAGATACGGACTAGTGAAAGCAGTGAGAGGTTTAAAGCAGGGGACAAGCATGGTTGTGATTGGTATTTAAGAAAAACATCTGAGGGTAGGACCTTCGATGTGCAGTGCCCAGCATTGTGTCTTTCTCTGAGTAGGAAACTCACTAAGGATGAGCTCAACAGGTGGACAGACGAAGGCTAAGCTGCTGCCTCCCCCCCGTCCATCTGAGAGACAGCCTGTGTTAGGCCACCCCATGGGCACTACAGAGCTGTACTTCACAGAATTCTCTCAAGCCATGTTCCTCTCTCTCTCTCTCCTGTGTCCCTTTGCCCCACCCTCTGACGCACATACACGTGCGTAAGAGACCCCGTGACACCAACTTCAAGCAGTGCTGCTACTCTGCCAGTTTTTGCAAAATGGGAACACCTTGGCGTTAAACTCAGGTTTGAAGCCCAGCCCTGCCACCTAATGGCTGAATGACCTGGGGATAGTAATTTCATCTCTAAGCCTCAGTTTCCACATCTGTAACCTGGAGAACAAAATCCCCACAGATATTTCTGGTTCACTATCAGAATTATATAAAATCAAGAGCAGGGGGGGAGAGCAGCCAAGATGGAAGAATAAAAAGACCCAGAGCTCACCTCCTCTCGGGAGCACCCCAAAATCACAACTGTCTGCAGAAAAACCATCAATGAAAAAGCCTGGAACCTACCAGAAGGGATCTTCTACAGCTAGAGACTAACCACAACAAAACAGGTAGGAAGGGTGGGCTTGCAACATAATCAACTCCCATTTACACCCCCCCACCCCTGCTGAGGTGGGCAACTGGAGAATAATTATATTACAGAGATTCTCCCACAGGAGCAAGAGCTCTGAGCCCATCAGGCTACCAAGCCCAGGGGTCCAGCACTGGGAAGATGAGCCCCACCAGGGCAATTGATTTTGAAGGCCAGTGGGGCTTAATTTCAGGAACCCCATAGGACCGGGGGAAACAGAGACTCCACTCAAAGGGCACACACCAAATCTCACATGCACAGGGACACACAGCAAAAGTAATTTGATAAGAGCTTGGGCCAGACCTACCTGCTGGTCTAGAAGGGTCTCCTAGGGGGTGGGGGCGGTTCACCCTGGGGACAGACACTGGTGGCAGCCATACTGGGGAGCATTCAGGAGACTGAACATGGTTGATTGTTGGCAGCTGACATCTTGGCTCATTAGCTCCAAGACAGGCCCTGCCCAACAGCCTACTGGTGACAATGCCTGGGATGCCTCAGGCCAAACTAACTAGGTGGGGACACAGCCTCACCCATCAGCAGAGAGGCTGCCTACAGACTAAAGAGCCTACAGCTGCCTCTGGGCTCACTACTGCTGGACACAGTCCTGCCCACCAGAGGGCCAAGACCCAGCTCCACTCACCACTGGACAGGCACTGGCCCCTCCTACCAGGAAGCCTGCACAAACCTCTAGACCAGCCTCAACCACCAGGCGGCAGACACCTGAAGCAAGAAAACTGGTTCCCCAACACAGGCCAGACCCTACCCTGGGACCAGCTGGGCCCTGGCCCTGCCCACTAGCAGACCAATGCAACCTTCAGGACCCCGTATTCAACTGTGTCAGGAACTGGTGCCCCTTCCACAAATAAGCTCTGGGGTCCCTGGGCGCTTCAGCTAGACCCCAGGAAACAGCTCTGACTGCCAGGATCTGGCACTAACCCCAGGACCTGGCTTCACCTGCCAGTGGGTGGGCAGCAGCCCCAGAGTCTTTGGGACTCTGACTCCACCCACCAGTGAGCCACCGCTAGCCCCAGAGGACCCTAGCGTTTCACAACCAACCAGACTAGGGCTCAACCGAGCCTCCCAAGCTGCCTACATGGTCAGTCTACCACAACAGAAGGATCCACACAGCTCTCTTAGGGGGAACCCTAGAGCATATGGCTTGGGTGACAAGAGGGATGTGCACTGCTGGGACACATAGGATGCCTCCTACAGAGGGCCACCTCTCCAAGGTTGAGAAACATAACTAACTTACCACATAATACAAATAGCAACATAGACAAAATGAGGCAGTAGAGGAAATCACTACTGCTGAACAGAAAAAAAGGAAAAAGAATGAAAAGAGGATAGGATGTGCACTGCTGGGACAACATCAAGTACACTAATATTTGCATTATAGGGGTCCCAAAAGGAAAAGAAAGGGTTTGAGAAAATATTTGAAGAGATAATAGCTGAAAACCTCCCTAACCTGGGAAAGGAAACAGTCACCCAAGTCCAGGAAGTGCAGAGTCCCATACAGGATGAACCCAAAGAGAAACACACCAAGACACGAAGCAAAATGACAAGAGAATACTAAAAGCACCAAGGGAAAAGCAACAAATAACATATGAAGGAATGCCCATAAAACTATCAGCTATTTTCAGCAGAAACTCTGCAGGTCAGGAGGGAGTGGCAAGATATATTTAAAAAGTGTTGAAAGGGAAAAACACAACCAACAATATTCTACCCACCAAGGCTCTCATTCAGATTTGAAGGAGAAATCGAAAACTTTATAGAAATTCAGCACCACCAAACTAGCTTTACAACAAATGTTAAAGGAACTCCGCTAGGGAAAAAAAGAAAAGGCCACTACAGGAAACATGAAAATTATGGAATGAAACAGCTCACCAGTAAAGGCAAACATACGGTACAGGTAGGAAATCAGTCACACACAAAGCTAGCAGGGACGTTAAGAAACAAAAGTGGTAAAACCATCTGTATCCACAATAAGCAAGGGATAAACAAAACAATTAGATGTAAAATACGATCTCAGAGTAATTGTGAGGGTGGGGAGAGTACAACTGCAGCGTATTTAAAGTGCATTTGAAAGTAAGATCAGCAACTTAAAACAATTATGTATACATACAGACTGCTATACAAAAACCTCAAGGTAACTGCAAACCAAAAATCTATAATAGAAATACACACAAAATAGAAGAAGGAATCCAAACAGGCATCAAGTCACAGGAGAGCAAAAGAAGAAAGGGAAAAAAGTCCTACAAAAATAAGTCCAAAGCAATTAACAAAATGGCAATGAGAACATTCATATTGATAACTACGTTAAATGTAAATAGAGTAAATGCTCCAACCAAAAGACACTTAGTGACTGAATGGACACAGAAACAAGGTCCACACATTTGCTGCCTACAAGAGGCTCATTTCAGATCTAGAGACACATACAGGCTGAAAGGGAGTGGAGGCAAAAAGGTATTCCATGCAAATGGAAATCAAAAGAAGGCTGGAGTAGCAGTATTTAGATCAGCCAAAATAGACTGTTAAAAGAGACAAGGACACCACATAATGATCAAGAGATCAATCCAAGAAGCAGATATAACAATTGTAAGTATATATGCACCCAACATAGGAGCACCTCAACATATAAAGCAAATGGTAACAAACATAAAAAGAGAGATTGATAGTAACAATAGTGGACCTCAACACCCCACTTACATCAATGGACAGGTCATCCAGACAGAAAATAAGGAAACACAGGCCTTAAATAACACATTAGACCAAATGGACTTAATTTATATTTATAGAGCATTCCACCCGAAAGCAGCAGAATACACACACATTCTTTTCAAATGCACACAGAACATTCTCCAGAATAGATCACGTGCTGGGCCACAAAACAAGTCTCAGTAAATCTAAGAAAATTAAAATCATATCAAGCATCTTTTCCAACCACAAGGCTATGAGACTAGAAATCAACTACAAGAAAAAAAAAACTGTAAAAAACAAACACGTGGAGGTTGTTACTAAACCAATGGATCAATGAAGAAATCACAATACCTGGAGACAAATGAAGATGAAAACACAACATTCCAAAACCTGTGAGATGCAGCAAAAGCAGTGCTAAGAGGGAAGTTTATAGTGATACAAGCTTACCTCAGGAAACAAGAAAAATCTCAGATAAACAACCTAACATTACACCTAAAGCAATCAGAGAAAGAAGAAGAAACAAAATCCAAAGTTAGTAGAAGGAAAGAAATCATAAAGATCAGAGCAAAGATCAATGAAGTTAAAAGCTTGTTCTTGGAGAAGATAAACAAAATTGATAAACCTTTAGCCAGACTCATGAAGAAAAAAAGGGAGAGGACTCAAATCCATAAACTTAGATATGCTAAAAAGGAGAAGTTACAACTGACATCACAGAAATACGAAGGATCATAAGAGATTACTCTGAGCAATTATGTGCCAATAAAATGGACAAGCTAGAATAAATGGACAAAGTCTTAGAAAGGTACAATCTCCCAAGACTGAACCAGGAAGAAATAGAAAATATGAACAGGCCAATTACCAGTACTGAAATAGAATCAGTAATTTTAAAACTCCCAAGAAACAAAAGTCCAGGACCAGATGGCTTCACAGGTGAATTCTATCAAACATTTAGAGACGAGATAACACCTATCCTTCTGAAACTATTCTCCAAGAAACTGGAGAAAAAGGAACACTTTTGAACTCATTCTATGAGGCCACCATCACCCTGATACGAAAACCAGACAAAAATATCACAAAAAAAATTATAAACCAATATTGCTGATGAACATAGATGCAAAAATCCTCAACAAAATACTAGCAAACCTACTCCAACAATACAGTAAAAGGATTGTATACCATAATCAAGGGGATTTATCTGAGGGCTGCAAGGATTTTTCAATATCCACAAATCAATCATTGTGATACACCACATTCACAAATTGAAGAATAAAAACCATACAATCATCTCAACAGATGTAGAAAAAGCTGTTGATAAAATTCAACATCCATTTATGATAAAAATTCTCCAGAAAGTGGGCATAGAGGGTACATGCCTCAACAAAATAAAGGCCATATATGACAAACTCACAGCTAACATCATAACAGTGAAAAACTGAAAGCACTCCCTGTAAGATCAGGAACAAGACCAGGATGTCCACTCTCACCTCTTTTACTCAACATAGTTTTGGAAGTCCCAGCCACAGCAATCAGAGAAGAAAAGGAAATTAAAGGAATCCAAATTGGAAAGGAAGAAGAAAAACCATCACTGTTTGCAGATGACATGATACTATACATAGAAAATACTAAAGGTGTCACCAGAAAACTACTAGAAGTCATCAATGAATTCAGTAAAGTTGCAGGATACGAAATTAATACACAGAAATCTGTTGCATTTCTATACATTAACAATGAAATATCAGAAGGAGAAATTAAGGAAATGATCCCATTCACCCCTGCAACAAAATGAATAAAATAACCAGGAGTAAGCCCAGCTAAGGAAGCAAAAGACCTGTACTGTGAAAACTGGTAGGCTGATGAGAGAAATCGAGGATGACATAGATGGAAAGACATACCGTGTTTTTGGATTGGAAGAATCAGTATTGTTTAAATGACCATACTACCTAAGGCAATCTACAGATTCAGTACAATCCCTATCAGATTACTGATGGCATTTTTCACAGAACTGGAACAAAAATTTTTAAATTCATCCAGAAACACAAAAGAACCTGAATAGCCAAAACAATCTTGAAAAAGAAGAGTGCAGCTGGAGGAATCACGCTCCTTGACTTCAGACCATACTACAAAGCTACAGTAATCAAAACAGTTTGATACTGGCAAAAAAAAACGATACATAGATCAATGGAACAGGATAGAAAGCCCATAAATAAACCCACATGCTTATGGTCAATTAATCTATGACAAAGGAGGCAAGAATAGACAATGAAGAAAAGATAGTCTCTTCAATAAATGGTGCTGGGAAAACTGGACACTGACGTGTAAAAGAATGAAATTAGAATATTCTCTAACGCTATAAACAAAAATAAACTCAAAACGGATTAAAGACCTAAATGTAAGACCAGATACTATAAAACTCCTAGAGGACAACATAGGCAAGACAGTCTTTGACATGGATCGCAACAATATTTTTTTGGATCCATCTCCTAGAGTAATGGACACAAAAGCAAAAATAAACAAATGGGATCTAATTAAACCTGAAAGCTTTTGCACAGCAAAGGAAACCATAAACAAAAAGACAACCTACAGAATGGGAGAAAATATTTGCAAATGGTGCGACAAGACTTAATTTCCAAAATATACAAGCAGCTCATACAGCTCAATATCAAAAAAAAAAAAAAAAATCAAAAAAATGGGCAGAAGACCTAAATAGACATTTCTCCAAAGAAGACATATAAAAGGCCAACAGGCCCATGAAAAGATGCTCGACATCACTAATTATTAGAGAAATGCAAATCAAAACTACAATGAGGTACCACCTCACACTGGTCAGAATGGCCATCATCAAAATATCTACAAATCATAAATGCTGAAGAGGGTGTAGAGAAAAGGGAACCCTCCTACACTGTTGCTTGGAATGTAAATTGCTGCAGCCACTATGGAGAAGTGTATGGAGGTTCCTCAAAAAAACTAAAAATAGGGTTGCCATATGTTCCCGCAATCCCACTCCTGGTCATATATTGGAGAAAACTCTAATTCAAAAGGATACATGCACCCCAGTGTTCATAGCACTATTTACACAAGGCAAACATGGAAGCAACCTAAATGTCCATCAACAGATGAATGGAATATTACTCAGCCATTAAAAATGATGAAATAATGCCATTTGCAGCAACATACTAAATGAAGTAAGAGAAAGAGAAATATCATATGATCTCACTTATATGTGCATTCTAGAAAAATGATATAAATGAACTTATTCACAAAACAGAAATAGGCTCACAGACATAGAAAGCAAACTTATGGTTACCAAAGGGGAAAGGGAGGGAAGGGATAAATTTGGAATTTGGGATTAACAGGTACACACCACTATATATAAAATAGCAAAGATCTACTGTATAGCATAGGGAGCTATATGCAATACCCTGTAAAAACCTATAATGGAAAAGAATCTGACAAAGAATATATATATATATACACACACACACACACACACAGCTGAATCACTTTGCTGTACACCTGAAACATTATAAATCAACTATACTTCAAGAGCAGAAGTAATAAAAAAAAATCAAGAGCATAAGTGTTTTTATCCAGGCACAGATGACAAAGCAACAGCATGTCATCCTGACCACAAACAACAGATGGTGATAGTGAACACTTATACCCTTTGCAATAAATATGAACGATTTAAGGAATAGCCTCAGGAACATAATTTTGTTTGCAAGTTCAGAAGCTTCTGTACTAACCGCCCCTACCTGACCACACCAGAATTGGGCCTGGCATTTAGAGGATCCTTAACAAAGAAGCGCCCCTTACCTCCATTTGTGGTGTAAAGTGTGGTGAGTCCAGGATTCTTGGAGCCCACGTCGACTATTGCCGGTGTGTATTTTTAACACCATTTCCATTTCAAGGGTCTCCTACAAGAGAAGAAAGAGTGCACATGGAGGGTGCCTGAGCCCTCTGATAGGTGTGCCCTTAAAAACAACACTCTAGAAAGAGGGGTTAAAGAGAAATTGGGAGTTGACACGACCCCCCTTGGACTCTCCTGGAGTTCTGCCCCAGTATTTTTGACCATTGTGACCCCCCCAAGGACACAAGATGCCAATTCACATGTGGGGCAGGCCAAGGCCTTCTACCTGTCTGGCAGGTCCCCCACAGAGCCACACTCAATGGCTATCTGCTTTGCACTGAATTTTATTTCAGTAAACTATGGAAAAAGATACTGAAATGGAATTCCTTCAAGGCTCTTCAAGCAAGGAGGCCTCAGAAGCTACTTTAGAGAGGAAGGAGCGCCAGCATACACAAAGATGCATTACGAGGGACTTCTGAACACTTCCCAGTATAACATGGTGAAGCTGAGCTCACTGTGAAACATGAACGGGACTAGGCAAATTTGCTAAGAGCAAGGGAGGCATTAGTAGGTGAAAATCATGTCCTTGGTGTAACCCAGTTTCTCCAAGTTAGGGTGCACGGCTCTCTGGATCAGGGGTGGTGGGCCACACACCAGGATGAACGAGAACCTCCCAGGAGGAGGGAGATGCTCTTTGATCGTGTCCTCAGTAATGAAGCCTGACCGTACTTCCAGCCTGAGATTAAGCAGAAAAAAGCTGTTGCGGGGGCCAGGTTGCGTCCCTGAGCCCAGGCCCCCTGCCCGCCCTCCCTCAAGCCGGGAAGAGGAACACAAGGCTATGCGCCGAGGCTTAGACATCTGCACTACTGCTCTCCGCAGAAAGCTGGGAGTAGAGGACGCGGGGGGCCCAGAGAGCCCTTTTCAGTACTTACCCCAGACCCCAGGCTCACTGCTGGGGCTCTGAGTCCCTGGCTGGTGTCTGTCTGCTGTAAGCACCGGCGTGGGTGAACGCCACCCTGAGACAGATGCACCCGGGTGCGGCGTGAATCGAGGCCGTGAGCAGGAGCTGTGCCGGGCAGAGGGTGCTGTGGTTGTTTGGGGACTGGCTCGTTTGGGTGGCGCCCTCTGCTGGGCAGTGAGCTGTACGACGAGGCAGGCACAGCTCAGCGCTGAGTGGGAGAGGCAGCCTGTCAGCGTGAGGGCTCTGCGGGGTGCGGCGTGTGCGGTGGCGGCCAGGGCTCAGCTTATGAGGACTGCTGTCCTAGGTGAGGTGCGGGGTGCAGGGTGAAAGGATCAGTGGCCGTACAGGAGGCAGTGTGAGTGATGGCTCTGTGGGATGCCGTGTGGAGTGGGTGTTCAGGGTGGCCCGGGGCCTCAGGGTCCCCCCTGACGTTCACAGTAGTGCGTGGAGTGCCGCTGAGATATCGGACACCTACCCTCTACCGCCCTTACAAGCAGGTCATCCCAAATCCTCTCTCCCTCAAATTCCTGCATTTCCCAAGTAGAGACATAGTCCAAGGCCTCAGCCACCCAGCCCAGAACCAACCAACCCAAGGACTGGCCCCTGACTGGGTCAAGGGTTGGAGCTGACCCACGGTGGGGACAACGGGGACCTTACCAACAGGAGGCCTGTCCAGGGTGTACCACAGGTTGAACTGCTTTGGGTGAGTTCTATCAACTTCTTCAAGCTCCTTTCTCACCAAGATCTCCTCCTGTGTCTAGAAAAGAAGCAACACGAGCCTCACCCCTCCAGGGCATCCTGCTTGTTCCCCAGACTCAGTACACAGGTCAGCACGTTCCCACCCCGGCCACCCTACTCTAGCTTGAGTGCTCCCTGCAGACTCTGGGCCAAAGAGTTCTGCTGAGGCTCCGACACAACAAACGCCCTCTGGTGGAGGGAGGCGTTGGGTGACTGCCCTCCAGCTGGAAGGCTGTGTCTGAACACTGGGGGTCCCAGCCCAGCTCCTCCATCCACTCTGAGCGCCAGGCAAGGCAAACCGGACTGGCCCAGGATCTCCTGCAGGGAATGCGAGCAGCTAAGGCAGTGATATATGACACGATATATATAATCTATGGCACTGGAGAGCTACAGCAGAGGAAGACAGAGGCTATAGCCTCCGCTGGGGAAAGTGCACAAAGCCAAAAGATCTGTTGCAGGCTCAGAGATGCTGCACACAAGACCTGGACCGTAAAACTCGTCACGATCCTTGTCCCAACAATTCCACTTCTGCGATTCTGTTTAACAAAATAATCTAAGCCTAGGCACAATTATTCATCACTGTATCATTTTAACTGTGAAAACTGAAAACAACCTGAATGGAGGAGAAGATTAGTAATGATGGTGCGACTTGATATAGACTGATGAAAATACTTATAAAGAGTTTTAATGAGAAGAAAATGCCTGTGTGGTAATGTTGAGTAAAAAAACTAAAAATGAAAAACAATATATATATAATTGTGAATATATAGCATGTATAGAGCAAACAAAAAAAGAAGTAAATTATTTATATGCTTCCGTATTTTCTGAAATTTCCACTAAGGGCAAGGCTTCTATGATTTTACACTGGGAAAAGCACAGAATTATATATTAAAGAAAGAAGGAAAGCTTAGTGCTTATGGTTGTTTGGGGAGACAGAGTTAAAAAACAAAAACAAACGGAAAAACAGGCCTGGACTCAGCTTCTATGGCTGCCAGCAGCCCTACTTGAGGCCAGTGAGCCCTCCCATAGCTGCAGGCGCCCGAGCAGCATGACATGGGGAGTGGGGAGGAAAAGAATGCAGAGGCCAGCTCAGCAAACAGTGGAACTTTCCTTCCTCGCTCAAGGCTGACTCAGCAGAACTGACCTGGTTGGCACAGACAAGGGACATCCTGGTCTTGTCGCTGGGCTTCTTGGTGATGCAGCGGATGAGCTGCAGCAGGGGCGTAACCCCTGAAACACAGCTGGCAGGCAGGCTGGGTTTCCTTCCCCCTCTGGTGCTCACCGTCTGTGGTCTGCAGCAGCTTCACAAGTTCCCTTGGCCCCGATTACTTCTCTCACTTCTGTCCCCAGAACTCAGGGCAGAACCACCCTTCATTTTGGTTTTCCCTTCTAATGCAACAATCCATCGAAAGCACTTCTCATTTTCACATGGCAGCACTGGCTTTGAAACGACTGCATTTCACATCTAGCTCCCTAACTGTCTGACTAAGGTGAGTCAGGCACCTGTCTGAGCTCTTCAGTGTCATTTGTAAAACAGATTTAATGGCAAGTAAATGTGATAGTTTAAAAAATGCCCGTTACGGTGCCTGGCACGTTGTTCTCCTTACACGTTTGTTCTCATTTTTCAGGCATTCATTTTCAAGGGATGGGGAGCATCAGGCTTGAACAGGATCCAGGAGCCCTTGGGGCCTGTGTGGCCCTGCCCAGCCTGGCCCCCAGCCTCACCTTAGAGGCTCCAGGGGCTCGTGGGGCAGCCAGCATGTTGGTTAAGGGGAGCAGGGCATCCAGGGTCAGTGTCAAGACCTGTCATTGGCCCTGCATCCCCATCTCAAAGAGCCAGGGAAGGAATCTCTCACATCACCCCTTCTAGGACCAAATGACTCCAAAGTCAGAAAGGTCTCAGGGCTCACCCTGTGGATGAAGCCCCCAGTAGCCTCTTACCTGTGCCCCCAGCAATCATTCCCAGGTGATGGACCAGTTTATTTTCAAGCTCACTCGTTTTTTATGGTTTGAACGCAAACTTCCCTGAAAACACAGAGGATACTTCTGATGTCTACGGCTCTTGACTGAGAGCCCGCAAAACGTCACTGAGTTCCTTGGGCCTCCCAGGAAGCAAGTCCACCTAAGCGAGTGGCTATGCCATTTTAAACCAGAGGAGCAAGCCAGAGTGGCCTCCTTAGCCAGCCCTGGTCCACCGGGGCCCAAAGTGGGAGTAGAGCCTGGGCATCCTTGGGGGAATAACTGCACCTTCTCTTCTGAGGAAGGAGAAAGACAGGCTGAAGTTAACATGGAGTGTCACACAACTCTCTCGCCCACAGCAGCGAACAAGTGATGAGCGTGTGAGCAAATGGATGAGTGTGCATTCCATCCATCCATCCACCCACCCTCCATTTTTCAGCAACAGCAAGTGCCTTTCGTGCATCAGGCATTGTGCTGGAGATACAGTGATGAGGAAACACCAAATCACTCCCTTACCTTCAGGAAGCTTATAATCTCATAAAGTGGGTGTGTGAATGAATGTATGAAGACTTCAAGGACAAGCCCATGTGACTCAAATCTGAGGAGCTTTCTAGAACAATGGAACAACCATAGGCATCTTCTTCCTCCTAGCTGGAGGCCCAGTGTGAACCCCCCAGTACCTGACCCATGATAGAACAGGCGCCCGGATGGCCCTTGAAAAAGGATGGTGTCCCCAGTTTTCATGTTCTCCAAGTACTGAGTCATCTTCCCCCCTTCTGGATGATTAGGGTGTACATTTTTGAAGTAGATCTGAAAAATAAGGCAGCATGGTTTTCACACCTTCAGCCCCGAGGCCACAGCCACACACAACTCAAGAATACACTTGCTACCAGAAACCAGGGAGAGCAAATCCTCTGCACTCACGGTTGCTCTAAAGCAACACCTGAAGACTTCACTAGGTCAACAGCTTCACTGTTAAATGACATCGCTGGGAAGCCCTGTCCAGGGCACGTGCCCCTTCTCCACCCACCACCCTGAACAAGCTTGTGACGGTGAGGCAGCTGGACATGGTGGGCATCATTTACCTTGATAATTAAGTCCACAAAGCCTAGATCCTCATCACTGGACACAGGCGTGTAAGCCCTGACCACCAACACACCATCAATTTTGGCCAAGAGATTAACATAGTTACCTACAGAAAAGGCACCAAATGTTAAGACTGAGCAGGGCCAGCCTAAACAGGACCAAGGATTTCTCTAAAGGACTGAGCTTTGGTGGCGGAGGGGGTGCATAGCGCGACAGGGTGCATGGGAGGAGGGCCAAGCAGGGAAGGAGCCCAAGTCCAGGATGCCTAGATCCTAGGCCTGCCCTTATCACTCCATGTGCAAGCCTGGACAAGTCACTTCACCCCATATACCTGCCCTGACTCCATCAGAGCGTAGCTGTGAGCTTCACACACAGGAAGCCTACTGTCGGTGCAGGCTTACCGTGTCAAAGTGCTCTGTGGGGCAGGAAGAGCTAATTAAAGTTGGAGGCTGAGCATTAAAAATTACAGAAAAGTGTTTCCTTTTTAAAGAAAAGTATGTTGCCTTCGTAAAGTCATTTCTTCCTAAACTGTATGTATTACTGGGGTCTATGAATGAATCACAGCTCCCTCATCTGTATCCTGTCCCCTGGCATGGAGCAGGCCTGGTCTCACAGGTATGCAGGGCTCCAGGATTTAGACATCCATGGACCATGAGTTCCAGCAGCAGCACTGTGTCTCCCTGGCCCATGGCTCTGCTGAAGGGCAGCAGTGAAGCTTTGAACCATGTAATTCTGTCCCCCCAGGGTAGACATGAACAGACCAGGGTGGCCAGAGACCTGTGGATCATGACTCCATGATCCAGTGTCACATGATGGGCTAGGCCACTCAGATTTCTGCTGCATCCAACATGGGAGACTTCAGTGACTAAGGCAATTAGTGGTGAGGGCAGAAGCTGCAATCAAGAGATGCCAAGGGGCTTCCCTGGTGGCGCAGTGGTTGAGAGTCCGCCTGCCGATGCAGGGGACACGGGTGCGTGCCCCGGTCTGGGAAGATCCCACATGCCGCGGAGCAGCTAGGCCCGTGAGCCATGGCCGCTGAGCCTGCGCGTCCGGAACCTGTGCTCCACAACGGGAGAGGCCGCAACAGTGAGAGGCCCACGTAACGCAAAAAAAAAAAAAAAAAAAAAAAAAAAAGGGATGCCAAGAGACAAAGGCAAGAGGAAGTTCTGAGCCAGAGTATCTGAGGGGGTAGAAGCTGTGTGTGCACAGGACAGAGAGAGACCATATGCAGACAGAGCAGAGACCCAGGGAAAAGGGGCAGGAGAAGGGCAGGAGGGAGGGAAGGAGGAAAAGGAGGAGGGGGCACTGCAGGGGCAAAACCCAGTCTTTGAGGGGCCCCGAAGCCTGAGGTGCAAACGCTCTGGGTTAAGAAAGGACAGGCTTAGGATGGATAAACAAGGTCCTACTGTATAGCACAGGGAACTATATTGAATATCCTGTGACAAACCATAATGGGAAAGAATATGAAAAAGAATATATATATATATAACTGTGTCACTTTGCTGTACAGCATAAATTAACACAACATTGTAAATCAACTGTACTTCCATAAAATTAAAAAAAAGAAAGGACAGGCTCAATGACTCTGGCTATGCCCTGGCTGGGAACCAGGGATACCCAGGAATAAACACCTGTGGCAGCTTCCTGCTGAGAACTCATCTGATACTGGAAACCTTAGAAAGCCTCTTTCAGATGCAGCCAACCTGGGCCTGGCCTGGCAGCAACCTCAGAGAAAACGGGGCTGCCCGGCTGGTCCCGCAGACTGCATCTCTAACCAGCTTCATTTCAGCAGGGCTGGCAAGCATAAGCGATCTCCGAGCCTCCACAGCAGACTCTCCCAGAAGCCTCTAAATTACCTTGTGCACTGACTGTGCACTGCCCACACCAGGGCTGAGGAGAGAGTGGGTCATGACAGTTTCTAAGAAATTCTGTTTCTCAGAGGTTTTATTCTTCAGCCTTCTTGCCAATAGGGCTGGTGTCACCAGCTGGGCAGAGGGCTGGAAGGCAGGCTGACACCCAGCTCTCACGGATGAAAAGGGACAGAGGAAGCAGCAAGGAGGCTCAGGGGCCAGGCTGGCTGCCTAGTGGGTAACTTCATCACCTGAAGAGGTGACGTCAAGCTTTTGTCCCATGTACCCAGGACACGTAGGCTATGGATGCGGATCTCCACCAGGAAGGCAAGCAGCACAAAGTTTCAGGCTGTGGGCCTAGCAGAGTGCTAAGACTGACTCAGCCACCTGGTGGTGGTACAGGTTAGAAACGGGATAACTCGGAACTCTAGGACTGCTAGGGCTCATACCCACAATGGTCCCTCCTTTCGTGCATGAGTCTGAGGCCCCTGCTGAGAATCCACGTACTGGAGGGGAAGGGCACCAACCCCCTCCTGCCCCTCCAAACCTTCTGGGCCTTTCTCTTGACAGTAGGGGAACATCAATTCCTCCCATCCGTCCTAAGTGCACAGCACTTTACAGTTTCTGAATTTTCACATCCATCAGTCACTTAATTCTCACAACAATGCAAGTAGCAGACAGGCCTGGGAAACCCCATGTCATAGACAGAGTCTCAGAGAGGTTGAGGGACTTGCTTAAGATTGCCCAGCAAGGAGCTGGCAATGGGATCTTAGACCTTCTGACTCTAGACTCAGTTCTTTTCAATGCTCATTAAGATATTGCTTTTGTGTCAGCCCCAATGGAACAATGAGAAAGGGAATGGACTGTCCCTAAGCCTATCTCCCTACCTCTTTGAACTTATGTGGCTCAGGAAAGGTAGCAGGGCAACCTCTACACCTCAGCTGAGTTTCTGATAGGAGCAGAGTGCCCACAAGGCCCAGGTCCTGGTGATGACACCAAACTCCACTCACCTACAGGAAGCCCTAAGGCATGGTCCGGCGAGGGCAGTCCAAAGCGGAACCTCCGAGTGTTGTAGCTGATTTGCTAATAAAACAGAAAACAGAGGCAGGCTCTGTCAGCTTTCTGGAAGCTTTGCTGGGCAGCTCAGATGCCTGGGAAAGGAGCTCCCAGCACACATACACAGACAGTGGCAGTGGGGAGCAAACTAGAAGCCATGGAATGCCCATCCCACTGCCCTGGCCTCCCCAGCCAACACATTCCCCACCGCTTTGTCTTCCTCTCACATCACCCCCCCCCATCCTGCCCCTGACAGCAGAGGGGGAGGGCTGACCCATCACCTCTTTCTCAGTCAGGGGCAGCAGGAACTTGGCTTCAGGGTGCTGTAAGGTGACAGGACGCCTCTTCTTTACATTCTTGTTCTTCAGGGCCAACAGGAGCACAGTGATCCCAATAACAGTGATGGCGAGGAGCAGGGACGTGTCCTACCAGACACATGTGAGCAGGGCACCTCAGGTCCTGCCTGCCCCGGGCAGGACAGCTCTCAGGCCCAGCAGCACCCACTCCACACCAGGGGCATGTATGAAGCCGGACTGTGCCTAAAAGAAACTAGGCAGAGGTAAAGGTACTAAACTAGAAGGCAGGCTCAGCCTACGGTGGACCTGGAGGCTGGGAGGGGCCAGCTACAGATTAGACAGGAGGGATGCTTTAAACTCCCAGTCCGATGGCTCAGGAGTGCTAATGTCACCAGGCCTTTCCTGCCCATCTGCCTCTATCCTGGCTACAGCCAAGGGTGCAAGCCCTGGTAGCCCCTCCTTGAGGTGGAAGGGGTGAGGACGCTGCTTCCAGTACACAATTTGGAATGAGGGCCCCAACCCCCAGGGACAGAACTAGGGAGGGGGGATTAGCTGCTGAGCTAAGAGGGATGGGGCTTGCTTCCTCCACTCCCCTCTTCCAGGTCTGGCTAGGGCAGGGGTAGGGGTGGGGTGAGTACCTCTGTTGCCAGAGCTGCTCCAGGTCTTTGCTCAAAACCCACCAACGCCCACCGTTAGCAGGAGTGAACATAAATTTTTAACTTGAAGGGTTCAGAGAAAAGAAAAGGAAGCTATACACACACACAAAAGAAAAAAAAAACAGATGGAACCAGCTGGGACCAATAGGGCAATGAATCTGACCTCCAACACACCCTGAGTCTCATCTTACTACATTAGCATATTAAATGATGCACCTATTGGTGGCCAGGACCTGACATTAAGGACCAAAAAAGGGGGTGGCAGCCCAGTCCCTCAGAAAAAGCCCCACCCCTTCCCCTGTAGACTATCGCATATGCCTCCACATAGCTCGCCTCACTCCTCCTCCCATTGTCTTTACTCTTTAAACCCCTCTCACCAGCTGGGTGAGAATTTGATCTGTGAACTTAGTTCCCACCTCTCCATTCTTTGGCCACTGAATGAAGACTGTGCTGGGTCAATCGCAGCTTGAGTTTTGTTATTCGCCTACTTGAACCCAAACAGAAAAAAACCCTCCCTCGCCAAGGCAGAGAGCCTCCACTGGGCTAGGGCTGGAGCAGGGCCCATACGACTTAATTCGGTAACAAATTTTGGCATCCAGTGGGGGTCCCATTCCGTCTGGTAACTCAGGGCTTACTCGCCAACAAGGCAAGTTAAATAACTGGCCAGTTTGCTCCAATTCTGGATCCCTGAGCCAGTGAAGGCTACTAAATTAAGCCTGAGATCAAAAAGCAGCCAAGAATCAAGCGGGGTGCTCCCCAGGTTAAGACCCCGCCCCCACCCCGGCACATCTCCAAGGACACTTGCTACAGATTGGTGTAGTAGCCAGGCGATGCCCAACACAGGGGGCGCTGACCCCACTTCAGTCGATAAGGCCAATGGCAGTTGTAGGGGCTGGCTAATTAAGGGAAAGGATCCTGGCCACGTGGTTGGAGCCAGACCTCTGCCGAGAAGACTGGGCTGGACGGTTGGTTGTCTAAATTGAGCCAATGCTCTGATAACGGGGGAGGCGAGATTGGACAATTGTTTGCCTGAATGGACTGGACGGGAAGCCCTCCAGGCCCCCACATGGTAAGAACATCTTTGTTTTGTGTGTGCAACGTAAGCCCTAGTCTCTGTTCTTGATAAGGGTGAAACTTCAATCTCTGTTCTGTGTGGTCTTGTTTGCCCTGATGTTCTGGGAAATACTTACCACAACTGTGGGCATGGGTCGAGCACTTAAAGGCCACTAGGGCGCTCTCCACTGGAAGACTCCTGTGAAAGGATAAGTCGGTGACGGACCAGGGTAGATGAGCACTAGGTATCCTGCCGGCTGGAAGCAAATGTCCGTGTAAGCTGGCACACTGTAAAACACACTCACAGCCCTGACCCCTCCAGCACTGCCGACTCTAGGATATAGTCAAAAATCCAAAAGCACATCTTCTGTATTGGTTCGTCTTGCCCTAACTTGCCATCCTGGGGCAGGGTATATGGCTCTGTTGGGTAGGTCTCTCCCCATTACCTCTATCACAGATCCCTAGGGGATCCTTCCTCTGAGACACAAACCCTTTAAAATTCTTATTTTTGCCAGATTTCAGGAAAATTACCATCTAGCCAGAGAAGGAAGAAGAGGACACCCAAATCATCCCAAGTCCTTGGGTCCTTGCAGCTGAGAGTATAGAGAACTGCACACATTCCAAATGGGCATTCGGCCTCCCTGCTTGATTGCCTGTAACCAAGCAGGGTCAAGCCCTTTTTGAACAAGGCTCCTTGACTGCCAGAGAGGCTCTCCGAGCAATTTATCTGATTAGAGAATGCTTATTTATAACCCATTCCTCCTTTACCCTATCTCCGAGGACTGCTCGCTGAAAGCACTCACCTACATTGGGTATCTCCTACAGTCCCACAGTAGGCCTGGAAACGTCTACTTGCTAACTTAGAGGGGACTTTATAACTAGGGCCCTCTTAGACAGCATCTCCCCTTCCAGCCCCTGTGAAGATTGGTTCAGATTTCAGTTAGAGTGCCTAGACAACTTGGTGTGGACCAGATCCTGTGGGATCTGTGTTGCTACCAACCCTAGGAAGAGGCCACTGGGAAGCTGGAAACACACCAGAAATAAGGACTCCCCATATGGGTAACCAAGCCTCTGTCCTGGTGAAATTGCTGCTAGGGTGCATTCTCCATAACGTGAAATTCTTCGAGTACTGCCCACTACCAAAGAGACGGCTTATTACCTTTTGCAACACCATGTAGCCCCAATATAAACTGGCAGATGGAGAAAGTTGGCCAACTAATGGCTCGCTAGATTATAATACTATTTTTCAATTGGATCTCTATTGCCAGCATTTAAAAAAATGAGATGAGATCCCCAGGTACAATGTTTCATGGCACTTAGCCAAAACAAGGGCCTCCATAAAAAATGCAAGGCTAGTTCAAATCTCATTCTCTCTCGGTTTTCCTCCCGGAAAACCTCCCGGTTTTCCTCGGGCGGGAACTAGTCCAATGCATGCCCACAGAGTTCAGTACCAGAACTCTGAATCAGTAAGCTATTCCCCCTTTGGGAGGTCCCCAGTGGAGGGGGGGGGGCTGACCACCATGTATGTACCCCTCTCTTTCTCAGATCTATACAACTAGAAGGATCAATCCCAGGGTTTATGGGAAGACCCCCGAGGGAGTCCTTAATTTAGTCTGGGGAATATTCCACTCTCATTTCCCCACTTGGGTGGATGTCCAAACCCTCCTAAAATATCTTAATTCTCTGGGGAAGAAAAGGCACTGATTATAACTAATGCAAGGGAGAAAGTGGATAAGACCAATCAAAATTATGCAGGGCACACCGTATAATAGCTTGGAGCCCCAGCCATCCCCGACACGGACCGTGGGTGGGATCATCAGGAGGAAAACAGTTGGCAGAACCTCCCACATTTCAGGGATTTGATTCTTAAGGGCTTAGTCAGCGGGGAAGAAACCCATAAGTTGAAGTAGGGTACAGGGAGTCATCCAGGGACCGGAGGAAAATCCCTCAGCCTTCCTTGAGTGCCTAAGGGAGTGTCTCCAAGTGTACACAATTATAATCTGAAGCCGTTGGAAGGGCAGGCCACTCTTAAGTCCCAGAGGGCCCCAGACGTTGTGAGAAAATTACAAAAGTTGGGGAGAGGGCCCACCATGCCCACTTCCCGGCTGGTGGAACCAGCACTTCGGGTGTTCAACAACCGGGATCTGGAGGTGAATGCAAAGGAAGATAAACGAGCAGAATGAACTGCCGGTATTCTGGCTTTAGCGATTCAGGGTCCATCGACCTCCCAGGAATGACGGCCCCCCAAGGGACCCTGTGACATCGATGAGTCGCCCTGCATTTCGAAGACCACGCCCACAGTGGAGAGAAGGGCTTAAAACCAATCAGAGTGCAAACTGCATGGAGGAGGGTCATTGGAAGGGAGAGTCCCCCAAATGTCTCGGAAGGAAACTAGGTGGACCATTGTGTCCTAACCTCACTGGTTGCGCACATAAAAGAAGAAGAGAACTGAAGGGGGCTAGGTGCTCCTCAGAGCACCCTGGAAATTACCCCTGGGGAGCCTCAGCTGACCCTGACCATAGGGGGTAAAAAGGTTGACTTTTTAGTTGACACAGGGGCCACCTTCTTGGTCTTGAACACTCGACAAGGCAAAATGACCAAAGATAATAAATGTAAGATTATGGGAGTGGAAGGGAAGCCACAGGAGTGCAATTTTCTAGAGTCCTTTCAGTGCGCTTTGGAAGGAAAAATGTTATCTCCCTCTTTCTTATATATCCCAGAATGCCCAATTCCTCTAATAGAAAGAAACTTACTATATAAATTGGGAGCTACAATTTACCTCAGAGACAAAAACCTTATCATTGAAATACCCAAGACCACCTTCTATTCTGTAGCCCTAGCGCTACTGCCCTCTGACAATAATAATGGCCCAATTAACGTTGAGGGGATTAACCCCTCAGTATGGGCCCACGACAGAGCCCATACTGTTGGCAGAGCCAGGAGGGCACCACCAGTCATAGTCAAGCTGTGACCCAACTACGGTCACCCAAGTAAAAAGCAATACCCCTTAAACCAAAGAAGCCCTAGTGGGCATTAAGCCTGTAATAGAAAGCTACTCAAACAAGGGCTTCTTAGATCCTGTCAGTCCCCTTGCAACACTCCTATTCTTCCGGTAAAAAAATCCCCAAAATGGGAAATACCGGCTAGTTCAGGACCTCCAAGCAGTAAATGAAGCTACGGAGGAAATTCACTCCTGGTGCCCAACCTGTACACATGACTCTCTACCCCAAACCCTGAGAGGATCTGGTATTCAGTGTTAGACTTAAAAGATGCCTTCTTTTGTGTGTCCTTAGCCCCAGTATCTCAATAGATTTTTGTATTTGAATGGCAGGATCCCTACAGCTCTAGAAAACAATCATTGTGCTGGAAGGTTCTGCCCCAGGGACTTAGAAACTGCCCCACCCTTTTCGTTAAGGTTTTAGCTAAAGATCTTAGTGATCTTGAGTTAGAAGAGCGAACTATACTTCAATATGTGGATGACATTCTAATCGCCAGCCCCACCAAAGAGCTTTCTGACCGTAACACAGTTAGCACCTTATATCATCTGGCTGAGAGAGGATATAAAGTTTCAAAGCAAAAAGGCCGGATCTCCCTCCAGCGGGTAGAATACTTAGGATTTATAATAGAAAAGGGGCACGTGTTGCAGCAAAAATAGATATGAGATTTTTCTGATAAACCAGGAAAATAAGCAACAATGAACAGGCTGGGGAAACAGCATAAACAGGCCTAAAAGAGTTAAGCAATCTTGGTTATTCTTTAGCTGTTACTACAAACACACACTTGTAGCTAGACTTGTCCTTCACAAAGCTAAACAAAGCTAATTACTGTCTGATTCCATATGAATTGTACCCTGCACCTGGCATTTACTCTCTGCATTCTCTTGTAGCAAATTATCCCTTGTAGCTGTTTACATTTCAGAAAGAAGATTGCAGGCCGATAACACAGAGATGAATGGACCCAATTACCAGGCTGCCTCACAGCAGCAGTGACTGTTTTAAAATATTGCAAGAAGAAGAAGAATGCAAGACCTTCACCACTTTGTTCCTTATCACTTATCCTGGACTGCAAGTTCCACCTATAAGACCCTCTGCAATTCCCCAAGACAGGGGGGGCACAGTTCTTGAGGTGCTAGCCTACTGTGTCTTCCCTTCTTCCTGGCAAGAAAAATAAAGCCATCTCTCTCTTCCTCCAAAAGCTCTGCCTCCGTATTTCTGTTTGGCATCGGTGCACAGGAAAGCTGAAATTTCGGCAACACACAGGGCACTATCTAAGGAGAAGAAGGAATTGGCTTGAAAGATGGCACCCTCTAGTATGAGAAAACAGCTCTGGGGGTTCCTAGGGATGGCCGGGTTCTGCTGTATATGGATCGCCAACTTTGGCTTAGGTGCTAAGCCCTTGTATGAACAATTAAAGGGAAGGACCCTGATCCTTTTGAGTGGACCCCCAATTGTGACCGGGCATTCCTGGAACTGAAAAACCACCTCATAAGAGCCCCCACATTAGCCTTACCCAACCTGAGCTGTCCCCTCCATCTATATATACTGAGAGAGGAGAAAGTGCCCTGGGGGTGTTTACACAGAAACTGGGACCTCTGACTCAGGTTGTAACCTATTTTTCTAAACAATTGGACCAAACCCCTAAAGGATGGCACCTATGCTTACAGGCTGTAGCTGCCACTGCTCAGCTTCTCAAAGAAGCTAACAACTTAACTTTTGGACAGCCCCTATCTAGACCAGCGGTCCCCAACCTTTTTGGCACCAGGGACGGGTTTCATGGAAGACAATTTTTCCACAGTCCGGCGGGTGGGGGTGGGGATGGTTTCAGGATGATTCAAGTGCATTATATTTATTGTGCACTTTATTTCTATTATTTTTACATTGTAATATATAACGAAATAATTATACAACTCACCATAATGCAGAATCAGTTGGGAGCCCTGGGCCTGTTTCCCTGCAACTAGATGGTCCCATCTGGGTAATCTCGTTTTGGTTGCTGTCACTGCAGAAGACCCTGCTTCACAAGACAGGATGTTGGAAATGCAAGCAGGCTTTTCAGTGCCTTTGTGGCAACCTCAGAATATTCCGCCTTGACTTAAATCCAGAATGTATGGAGATCTGAAGTTGTCTCAAACAGACTTTTAAGGCCACCCTCA